AAAGATGCACTCTAATTTAACTCTCACGACTCACGCTCGTGCTGGTCACAATTAATTTTTAAGGACTCTGTTTTGGTCGTCAAGGATCATGCTTTTATGCTTTTTTTAATCTATGCTTCACCACCCCGTAGGGACCTCGCAAATTAATTTTGCCCCCCAAAATAACTTCTCCATTTGCTTCTAGAAAATATTGATCGGTTTATAATTTGTTTTTATTGGCAATGGCCAATTCGCGATTTCTTTCGAAATAGTATCCTATAATAATAACTATGCAACGCTATAACAATTTTCTTACAACCGACTTCTAAGATTTCTGAAAAAGAAAGCAAGAAAGAAAACTGCTTTCTTCCTCGATGAGAAAGCAGTAAAATCTTTAAAAATTTGAACATTATTAATTCAATAGAGACATTGAAAGATCGATTACACGTATATTCGAGGAAAAATCGAAATGAGTCACTGAGAACATAACCTTAAACGTGGAATTTTGAATAAAAGTTTCTAGGCCACGATAGATTTAGTGCCAAATTAATTAATAATTATCGAGAAATGGATATTTTAGAAAATACTAATATACTAAAATAAAATCGAAACGGGTTAATTGGTACCTGTGTAATTGTCGTTTGCAAATTAGCTGATAAATGAGATGCTAACGAATGTGAGAAAATGAAAAAACGATAAAACGCGAATTAAGGCCAGTTTTGTTAAACCTGACACGATTAAACGTAATATACTTGGATAATAGTATTCAGAATGATGTGGTAAAATGTAATTACGTTTCTATTTCAATGAAAGTCCACGTCAGTTTCGTCACGCTGCATACTTTCCCAGCTGTGAGTTTTCATTTTTCCTGAACGTCCAAAGGAATGAAAATTCTGAAACCGATCGCTTCGATTGTTTTGGAAATTCTAATCTTAAAAAAGGAAACGAAAATTATCTATAAGTCTCAATTAGTTTTCATTTGAACACATTAGGAGACTATGAATCGAATAAAAATTCTGTAGCTGACTATTTCAATTGTTTTGGAAATTCTAATATTAAAAAAGGAAAAGAAAATGATCTATAGGACTCGATTACTCCTCCTTCGAACACGTCAGTAGGCACACGGTTCGTGTAGCGAGGGTTCATTGATTCTTCCCACTGCGCGTAATCTCATCTTCAGATAACGAGAGTTTGCATTCGGATAAGTGGATTGAATTGGCAGGAATTCGCTGAATATCCGGTATTATAAGCTTCTGTTTATTATCATAAGCAACCAGTTAATATTCAGTAACTTAATTAGTATATAAATTGCCGGTTAATCCGCCATACGACAGACATCACTCAGACGAGACATGTCTCGAGTAGCTAGCCGATGAACCGATAATGCGATCAGAACTCGACATCCTTCGATTATCCTCGCAATTAGCATGAGCATTGACAAACACCGAGCCTTGAGAACCAGTCAGCGAATATCCCCGACGTTCGAAGATCCAGGAGAATGTCGAAACCGAAAAGTAAGTGGAACGAGTGACTCGGCAAAATTATCACTGACTCCGGAGGAATTAGCATAACGTGTAAACAAGATCCTGGAACGAGTTCGCAACGAGAGATCCTCTTTTGTTTCGCTGGCTATGGAAGGGAACGATTATGACCCCTTAAAGGAGAACGCATGTCTTGGTTTGATCGAATTCCGCCGAGTTGGCAGAGTCGCGCGAGCAAAGGTAACGTCGCATGTTCGACATCGACACTTAATGAATTATTATCCCACTGAAGTTTCGATTTCAATATTCTGCCAATGAACACAGAAGACAAAGTTGATTACCTTGGCCAGGGAACGGGTCACACGAACCTCTTTCTTCTTCCATTTTTATCCTTCGTAAATCCTCGGAATAGCAGATATTTGAACACCTTTCGAAATATTTTTCAACCCAATTTAATAAAGATTTACTGTGATAAGGGTATACGATGTCAAGGAGTTGACAGTCGACGTTGGAGGGGAAATACGAGGTTTGCGAACAGGATTCGAGTGGCGAGTTTTTAAAAGATTTTAAAGATTATAAAAGAAAAGTGGATGGCGAGAAATGGCGAAAGAAAGAGCTTCCGATGGAAACACGTAAAGCTTGATGATTGGTGGTCCGGTTTGTGGATCGCGTCGCGCGTGTTGGCAGAAGATTGCATGGAATTGGCTCATTATCGTTGTGCAATGGTTATAAATCGATGCTTCACGCTGCGAAATCGTCTTTATATGAAAACAGAGGATTGCAGCTCGAGGGCAGAAATATTTGTCCCCAATTACTGTATAGTAATTTCGACATAACCTAACGCGATCATAAATCCTCGACGACTTTTGTCCCGTTTGAAATTCAAAGAAAAGCTAACAAGCGAATATGTTAATTCAAAGTAGACGCGACAGATGTCTTATAAATTTCCCGTTTCAATCTAATGAATAATCTTTGTTGCTAAATTTGCTTGAAATTCATGAGAAGAAAATTAAGTATTTGCCATTTACCTCTTGACAGGCATCATCGAATTGGTCACATGTTACTTTGCAGCCATTGCTGCATTCTTAAGTGTAATTCATTTAAGATTACGTTGGCAGGGATCGACTAGAATAATATCGTAATACTTGACAGGTCAAAATAAATTTTAGAATAACAAATTAATGTGATGCAATAATGTAGGATGGCGAAAACTGGTTTTGAGACACCGAAAATTGACAGAATAATGAGAGCAGAATATCACAAACACAAAACTCATCAAACTAATTTTACTTAGGAAAAGAACACCAAGCTGACATAACGAAAACATCAAGCTAACCTAACCTAACCTAACCTAACCTAATACATCGAAAATATACAAAGATGCACTCTAATTTAACTCTCACGACTCACGCTCGTGCTGGTCACAATTAATTTTTAAGGACTCTGTTTTGGTCGTCAAGGATCATGCTTTTATGCTTTTTTTAATCTATGCTTCACCACCCCGTAGGGACCTCGCAAATTAATTTTGCCCCCCAAAATAACTTCTCCATTTGCTTCTAGAAAATATTGATCGGTTTATAATTTGTTTTTATTGGCAATGGCCAATTCGCGATTTCTTTCGAAATAGTATCCTATAATAATAACTATGCAACGCTATAACAATTTTCTTACAACCGACTTCTAAGATTTCTGAAAAAGAAAGCAAGAAAGAAAACTGCTTTCTTCCTCGATGAGAAAGCAGTAAAATCTTTAAAAATTTGAACATTATTAATTCAATAGAGACATTGAAAGATCGATTACACGTATATTCGAGGAAAAATCGAAATGAGTCACTGAGAACATAACCTTAAACGTGGAATTTTGAATAAAAGTTTCTAGGCCACGATAGATTTAGTGCCAAATTAATTAATAATTATCGAGAAATGGATATTTTAGAAAATACTAATATACTAAAATAAAATCGAAACGGGTTAATTGGTACCTGTGTAATTGTCGTTTGCAAATTAGCTGATAAATGAGATGCTAACGAATGTGAGAAAATGAAAAAACGATAAAACGCGAATTAAGGCCAGTTTTGTTAAACCTGACACGATTAAACGTAATATACTTGGATAATAGTATTCAGAATGATGTGGTAAAATGTAATTACGTTTCTATTTCAATGAAAGTCCACGTCAGTTTCGTCACGCTGCATACTTTCCCAGCTGTGAGTTTTCATTTTTCCTGAACGTCCAAAGGAATGAAAATTCTGAAACCGATCGCTTCGATTGTTTTGGAAATTCTAATCTTAAAAAAGGAAACGAAAATTATCTATAAGTCTCAATTAGTTTTCATTTGAACACATTAGGAGACTATGAATCGAATAAAAATTCTGTAGCTGACTATTTCAATTGTTTTGGAAATTCTAATATTAAAAAAGGAAAAGAAAATGATCTATAGGACTCGATTACTCCTCCTTCGAACACGTCAGTAGGCACACGGTTCGTGTAGCGAGGGTTCATTGATTCTTCCCACTGCGCGTAATCTCATCTTCAGATAACGAGAGTTTGCATTCGGATAAGTGGATTGAATTGGCAGGAATTCGCTGAATATCCGGTATTATAAGCTTCTGTTTATTATCATAAGCAACCAGTTAATATTCAGTAACTTAATTAGTATATAAATTGCCGGTTAATCCGCCATACGACAGACATCACTCAGACGAGACATGTCTCGAGTAGCTAGCCGATGAACCGATAATGCGATCAGAACTCGACATCCTTCGATTATCCTCGCAATTAGCATGAGCATTGACAAACACCGAGCCTTGAGAACCAGTCAGCGAATATCCCCGACGTTCGAAGATCCAGGAGAATGTCGAAACCGAAAAGTAAGTGGAACGAGTGACTCGGCAAAATTATCACTGACTCCGGAGGAATTAGCATAACGTGTAAACAAGATCCTGGAACGAGTTCGCAACGAGAGATCCTCTTTTGTTTCGCTGGCTATGGAAGGGAACGATTATGACCCCTTAAAGGAGAACGCATGTCTTGGTTTGATCGAATTCCGCCGAGTTGGCAGAGTCGCGCGAGCAAAGGCCGGATAGGTCAATCGCGAAACTCGATAATCTGTCAGAGATAGCTGGTCGATGGACTGTCGATGAGTCGTCGTTGACAAGAAGCTGACAGACGTTTCGGTTTCGGTCGCTCTACGAATTTTGAAGTTCAGCCGAGTCCACGGTGTTGCCTCAAAGACGATGGAGGGACCTGGAAATCGAGAAGATCGAGAAGATCAAGGAGATCGAGGAATCATAGACATGGAAGCGAAAAGTTGGTGTTTGGAATATCGTTATATTACGTGGCCTGTGTAGCGTCGTGAGAAAGTTTGGACTTTACACTCTACATATCGCTCTGCATAACCAACGCATCCTTTCCCTAAACCTCTAACTATGACATGTCACGAGTGTGCGATAGTATTCGAGAATTTTCACGGTTCGCGTGGATCTTCTTTATTCTTCCTCCCCGATCACGACTATTTATACGTCTATCCATTTGATCGTAGGAATCATGCTGACCGATTGGGATACGCTCCCCTCGCTCAAAGTGGGCGACTTCACGCTCGAGGTGGAGATCGGCCCACCATCCGCGGAGTTGCAGGAAGTCGCGAAGAAGGAACTTCGGGAGACGTCGGAACTCCAGCAAGAATCGATGGACAGACTTAGGGAATTGCTGAAAGGTAACGACGCGTTTCATTCTCCTAACATTGGCAGCTGAGAATCCTCTGTCTTGCAAGAAGCTGTCAACTTCTTGACACTGGATCTACTAAGACTGAGCAATCTTTTGAAAGCTGCTTTACCTATTGCTCGTACTGAATTGTTAACCGTGAAAATTAGAAATTAGACTATGATCTATGTCCTGTCAAGGCGAGACAGACTTGAAGTGTCCTCTGGAGAACGACGCCTGGCTGATCCGGTTCCTCAGGCCGTGCAAGTACTACCCAGAGTCTGCCCTGAATCTGGTGAAGAATTACTACAGCTTCAAGGTGAAGCACGCGAACGTGTACGACGGCCTGAAGCCTAGTCGGGAGAAGAATATCTTCGAGCAGAACATCATGTACGTGCTACCGAATCGGGACCAGCATGGCCGAAGGATACTGGTGCTCGAGCTCGGGAAGAAATGGAAGCCCAGCAAGTGTTCCCTGGACGAGGTGTTCAAGGGCTGCGTCCTGTACGTGGAGGCCGCCATGTTGGAGCCCAGCACCCAGATAGCCGGCGCTGTGGTGATCTTCGACATGGAAGGACTCACTCTCCAACAGGCTTGGCAGTTCACCCCTGCGTTCGCGAAGAGGATACTGGAGTGGTTGCAGGAGGCGGTGCCTTTGAGGATCAAGAATATGCACATCGTTAATCAACCCTATGTGTTCAACATGGTGTTCGCGTTGTTCAAACCGTTCTTCAAAGAGAAGCTGAGGAGCAGGGTGAGTTGGTCCTTTGAAGACCTCTGGGCTTGTCTTCTGTCTTCTCGGAGCAGCTTTCTGTCAAAGACTTTTGACAGTAGGTCCTAACGCGTCGTTTATTGCTTTCAGCTCATCTTCCATGGCACTGATCGCAAGTCATTACACACGTACATCTCGCCTAAATGTTTGCCCAGCTGTTACAATGGCACTCTGCAGATCCCACGTGTTACTGGACCTCAATGGCTGGAACTGTTGCTACTGTGCGATAAAGAATTCGATGGTATGTGCAATGGGAAATGACATCTTCCAATCCAGTCAATCTTATTAATTAATTTTACGAAATTCAAATCATCGAAGTCATCATTTTTCGTCATAAAGTTAGATAGGTGAGATATAGAAATAGACAAAGTGCATTGGTGTCATTGAAAATGGAAGATGTCACCATTTGCTTTTTATTTTCTTTTTAATCTCTTGATTAATTAATAGTGATGTTTATTATTCTCTTTTCAGCGATCAACTCGTACGGATACAAGAAATAATTCAGCTGTCTCGACATACCTTCAGAAGGGCAAAGAAAACCAATGGTTCGGTCGAAAATCGACATACCGAATCGATTTTCGAGCAACGATGTTGGCTGTGCATTCTTTTGTTGTTGCGCTGTGCTAAAACCGACATACGGCCTACATGCTTACTTATAGTCGGCTAATCGTTAGTTCATCCTCTACAACGTTAACTGTACTTTTGTAAGATGCACGGAATGGAGTACAAATTGTTCTCCAGTTTGTCGCGTAGTCCTCGATCTGTATTATTACTGGAAGGAAATTAATCGAATTGTCCGTAGAATTTTATATGCGTTACGAAATAGGGTAATTTTATATATTCTTATTTTTCATCTATTACTTCCCTATCGTTTAAACCGTGATTTAAAAATTTATTTTCCTTTTTTTTTTATATAAAACAGCGAGTGAGGAAAAGGTACCTCTGGCTATTCAGACAGCGCAGAGTTCGTTCGACGATGATAAACTTGCTGACATAGACGAACGATTTAGGATTTATCGTTGTTAACTTATTATTTTTAAAAGCTCTCCGTCATCTCGGAAGCTACCGCCAGCCGATGCGTTTCGTGAATTACGTTGTCGACCTGTTAGTTAATTTATTAAGACAATTAAGGTTTATCCCAAGGGTGTACGCTTATACAGTATGTACGTGATAGATATTAAAGACACGAGTAATTACAATATACGAATTTTTCAACCAAAGCTTCTTTTATCCCAAATCTCTTTTATTGAATGTTTCCTCGCGATGAAACAATCGTATAACAAATCGTCGATGTCATAATCCATTGCACTCGTAGTCACTGGAAGAATTGTTCGTCGACGTTAAGAAACAATTACAACCTAACCCCGTTATCTCGATGAACTGGATACCGATCTTGCCTTCGATACCGAGATAAAGGTCGATCGAACGACGACAGTGATTCGAAATTTTCTTCCCGCTCTATTTGTCACGTCGATGACGAAAACTTTTCTGGTCATTGTCATCCCTTTCTTCCATTTATCAGATTCAGAAAACGATCACCTCGAGATCCAGTTTCTGCGTCGCGTTCCGAGCTGATCAACCATTGCACCCTGTCGCATGTCATTTTGTACTGTTATATCCCCATTTGTTGGATTCTGTAACGAGAAAATTCGAGAATCAGAGGGAATTTGTCCTGGACAGGCATCTAATTGCATGTATTGTAGTAGACGGATCACAAACCGGTGGCTTGTGTTATAAGTACTGATTTCTGAGATTTGGTGACACATTTCAGAGTTTTGATGACAGATTTCAGAGTTCTGGTGGCAGATTTCAGAATTCTGATGGCAGATTTCAGAGTTCTGGTAGCAGATTGCAAAGTTCTAATAACAGATTTCAGAGTTCTGATAGCAGATTTCTAAATTCTGGTAGCAAATTTCAGAATTTCGATGGCAGATTTCAGAGCTCTGATAACAGATTTCAGAGCTCTGGAAGCAGATTTCTAAATTCTGGTGGCAGATTTCAGAATTCTGGTGGCATATTTCAGAATTCTGATGGCAGATTTCAGAGTTCTGGTAGCAGACTGCAAAGTTCTAATAACAGATTTCAGAGTTCTGATAGCAGATTTCAGAATTTCGATGGCAGATTTCAGAGTTCTGATAACAGATTTCAGAGTTCTAGTAGCAGATTGCAGAGTTCTAATAACAGATTTCAGAGTTCTGATAGCAGATTTCTAAATTCTGGTGGCAGATTTCAGGATTCTGATGGCAAATTTCAGAATTCTGATGGCAGATTTCAGAGTTCTGGTAGCAGAGTTTAGAGTTCTCTGCCCTTAGTTGCTCATTGCATGTTATTATTTCCCAGTTTCTAAGCTTACGATTACCCTAATACTTACGAAACTTGCCTCTAATATTAGAAAAAGATATTCTTCAGAAACTGGGAATTGAAATAGTTTTTCTTAGAGATCGTTCAAGTATCGAGTGCAAGTATCAACTGTCCACTTGGTGCCAAGACAATCATCGCTATCCGAAATTACCATCTTCCTTGATAAAATCTTCAAAATACTCTTCGAAAATTCGATAAAAAGTCCCGAAAAATAATTCTTCTTATCGACTGAAAAAGCAATCTCTTCTCACGACCATTTACCGAATGTCAAGTGTCCAATTAAAACCAAGATAATAATTAACATCAAAAAATACCATTTACATCGATCAGAAGTTTAAAATACTTTGAAAATTCGATAAAAATCCCCCAAAAAGATAATTCTCTTTATCGACTGAAAAATCGATCTCCGTTAACGAATAGCGTGCAAAGTAGAGAGGGCCGTTTAACGAAATATTAAGTGTCCAATTAAAGGCTAATTGTTAGAATTAGAGCACTATTAGGATTAGAATTACGGTTGGCCATGTACCCGAGCAGGGCCGAAAATCGCACACGAATTTCCGGCCGATGGCAATTAATCCCGTGACGTAATTCACGAACGAAGTTGCGTGGCCCGGCAATTAGCGTTTTCTGTGTACGAGGAAAATTATACGATGCGCGATTGCGCAACAGAGTCCATGCCCCCCGATAATGGCACGGCTGCAACGTAACGCATTCCGCCGCGTAATTACGCAAAACCGCGAGTACTGGCTGCGAAACGAATTCGGGCATGGCGGATCGTTCCGTGTGTCCGACGACCCTTTTTCGGAAAGGATTGAACGCGATCCACGTGTCGCAATGCGAGTCCATTTCCGTGTTAAATCGGCCCACTCGGTCACCAGATACCCCCTCCATGTGAAGACCGATTTTCTGCAACGCGACGCCAATGTTTCCTTCGTTTTTAGATCTATAATCCCTCTGTCATTCTTCGATCTCATATTTAGTGTTTTTAAAAAATAAAATCACCGTGTATTTTTAACGGGGGCCATTTTTTGGTAATTAGGGGAGTAAGATGGAAAGTTGTTTCGCGAATGTGTGAATGAATGCAAGTGTATTCCTAATTTTTCTATTTTGATTTGATGTTGGATAGTTTGAAAAATGAGATCGTCGTGAATTTTTTGAGGGGACCATTTTTTGGAAATTAGTAAGGGGCGTAAGAGGGGAGTCAGAGGGGAAGTTTTATGAATGTGTGTCGCAAGTGTATTTTTAATTTTTTGATATTTAATTTTTCCATTTTGATTTGGTATTGGGTGGTTTGAAAAATGAGAGCATCTTGTATTTTTTGACAGGTCCCATTTTTTGTTAATTAGGGGGGTAAGAAGGAAAATTGTTTTATGAATGTGTATAGAAAGTATATTCGCAATTTCTTGATGCCTAATCTTTCTATTTTGATTTAATATTGGATAGCTTGAAAAATGAGATGGTTGAGAATTTTTTGAGGGTGCCATTTTTTGATAATTAGGAAATTGAGTAAGAGGGGAACTTGTTTTATGAATGCGTGTTGCAAATGTATTCCTAATTTTTAGATGCCTAATTTTTGTATTTTGATTTGATATTGGATAGCTTGAAAAATGAGATCGTCGTGAATTTTTTGAGGGGGCCATTTTTTGGTAATTAGTAAGGGGGATGACAGGAATGTGGATTACGTTCAAAGTTACTCTACAAAGGAGTGTCGCAGGTGTATCTACGACTTCTCGATCGATAATCGTTCTACTTTAACTAGATTTAATTGTCCGAGTGCCAAGTAGTGCTACGGCACTGTTGGGATATATCGAAAAGTGCCATCGAGTTGTAATATACGATTGTCCCCTACTCTCTGCGTGTTCCATTTCCCCATACTCGCTCCTCGCACCTCCGTTGCCATTCTTCAAAAATAAAATGTACGAAACAACACCGTAAAACTCAATTCCTTCTCGCGATTCGGTATACCTTCCCTGATAGATCGATTCGCTTGCCATTTTTCAATGCGAAATACAAAATTCGCGAATGCACCGCTTGGCGCTATTCGAGAAAATTGGTCCGAAAAATGGCACCGAAATAATTAAGCAAAATTATAAATGTACGAACGCGGTGAATTTTTACAGATAATTTTGAGATAATTAGTCGAATTACCTTCGAAATCCTTCTCGAAATGGCAGAAATATTCGGCGATCTTTGGGCCTAACGGTTCATCTGGCAACTCCATATTTCCACCGAACTCCACAGGCGTAGCCTTCGCGCCAGTGTACGCGATCAAGGATTCTCTATTCGTGCCATGGAAGTGAATCCTGTTACGCATCTTCTCCTGTGAACAGACCCCATGTAAAAGTCAGCCATGAATAACAGAGAGAAAGAATCATTCAGTTCCAAGCAATTAAAAGAACTCATTAGCATCCATCGACCTCGGGCACTGATTACGTGAATTGTTATTAATTTCAGCCCTTAGGCCCAGAAAAATTATTAATTTCAGTTCTTAGGCCCAGAAAAATGATTAATTTCAGTGCTTAGGCCCAGAAAAATTATTAATCTCAATATTTATTAATTTCAGTCCTTAGGCCCAGAAAAGTTATTGATCTCAATATTTATTTATTTCAGTCCTTAGGCCCAGAAAAATTATTAATTTCATTCCTATACTTTACTTAACCATTTGACAATCCCTGCACACATCCCCTTTTCTACTATTTGCTCTTCACTATACACGCACCACCCCATTCGTTATGCAAATTATTATAAAGGCCTATCATTTTTATCATTTAGTAATCACAGCTGTTCATTCAATTATTATTCATTTATCGTGATAAATTTATATTTCTGATAACACCATGCTTGATAACACCATGCACCATACAGATTCTCTCCACTTTAGGAAGAGAAACACGACTCGAGAGGATTGTCCAATTTAGTATGCACATGGTTTATCAGCCGAGATATATCGGACAGGAAATCACGAAGACAAATGATCGACGAAAGAACGTACCACGAGGAAGGGTTTGAAGAGAGCGAACACCATGTTGAATATGAAGGGTTGGTTCACTATATGGATACCCTTAATACGACAGGGTAAACATTTCTGCACCCATTCCGTCACCTTCGCAGCGAAAGTCGGGGTGAATTGTGTAACGTGGCCCAACGTCAGGCCCGCCATATTTAAAATTACGTGCACGCCGCCAATCTGCAAGAAAATATTTATAAGTGACGAATTATTTTACCAAATACCTTTAATCGTATCCACTATGGAATATTCATGATATAAAATACATATACGCGACACAAAAATATTCGTGAAATAAAATAAAAATTTATATGCAAGATTGACAATAAATCTTGGCGACGATAAAATACCAGTGCTGTACCTATTCTAGAACTATATAATAGAGAATAAAATATAGGAAATCCCAATATCCCATGATACAAAGCAGGAAGAAATGAGAAAATGCAGAGATTCTTAAATCGATTTCGGTAGATAAGGTTAGGGTTGTTATGGGGTGCGTTATAGCAAGTTTGACACTGTATAAAAATTTGATGAAAATACAATAAGTGAAATAAAAATAAAAATTTATATCCAAGATTAACCATAAATTTTGGTGATAATAAAATATCAATGGTACCATAGAAATAAATATTGGGGGATGAAATAAAAGAGATTCGAGTATCCCATGATACAAAGCAGGAAGAAATGAGAAAATGCAAAGATTCTTAAATCGAATTCGGTAGACACGGTTATGGTTGTTATGGGATGCATACCGCTGCAACTTGCTCGGGATGGAACAATGGGGCATAGAAATTTTTCAAAGTGCTATGTATCGACTTCGACGTAACGAGACATGCTCTCATAACGATACCAAATATGAGCCCGGAAGGTCGGCGCCACACGGGTTATTGCACAATTGCTTACGATGCTAGCCTTCACCTAACCATCCACTTCGATGGAACTCGCGTTTTTATACGCCATTCTTGTTGCGATCCGATGAATTCCCGATAAAATTATCCGATCGAACATTGAATTCTCAAAATTACACCAACAACAATATTTCAATACATATATTGACAATATTAATAAAAATTAAATCGAACAAATTTAATGATACCTATATTTTCTATTATCTATGACAATAATTAAGACAAAATTGAAGAAGACAAAACTAAAAAATAATCAAGAAGAATAGAAGACGATATTTAAGCATAAATTATAAGTATAATGAAAAGAATATTTTTTTTTGTTGATTAGGGTTAATTATGATTAATTCTTGTAGTAACACGAGTGACCTAATTACACGTATCAAATGTTCTCTATGTTCTCTATTATCTATGACAATAATTAAGACAAAATTGAAGAAGACAAAACTAAAAAATAATCAAGAAGAATAGAAGACGATATTTAAGCATAAATTATAAGTATAATAAAAAGAATATTTTTTTTTCTTGTTGATTAGGGTTAATTATAGTTAATTCTTGTAGTAACACGAGTGCCCTAATTATACGTATTAAAATGCATAATATCGTGACCCTAGAGGATAGAAGCCTACTTTTGAGCCTACGTACACGAAGATTAAATTGAATATACCTGGGACTTCGGCTCAGCTATGGCCGCGAACAACGATAGCATGACTGCTCGGTATATTTCATCCACGCTAATCAGTTTCGTGTTCCACTGCTTCCCACAGTTGACCACAACGATTCTGCAGCCGCTTGCGTTGCGTTCTGGTAACGGTATCACTATTCCCGAGGACAATACCTTCTTCTCGGTGCTGGGCAATAGTTTATCGCAGTAGCGTGGGTTGTTCTGCTTGTATTTGTAGAACCTCTTCATCTGTGAAATCGCAGTATCGCGATATTATTCCGTTTCGCCTCGCTCTGTCTCGTTTCGAGCACGTGCAAAGCTTCTCGCGTGCATAATCAACGAAATTCGTCTCACCAGTTCGAAAGCGCTCTTCGGGTACCATTTGCAAGGTCGCAGGAACTTCTGGTAAATCTCGTCGCCATCCGGCAGGAGCAAGTCAGGCTCACCTGGGAAAAGAAACACGAACCTCTCAGAAGGTGCAATTATACCTGTTTGCTTGTATAGGCTAGGCCATCATTATCCCGACAGCCGAAACGAGCGGTTATGCTATCGCAACGGTCAATTATGGCACTGCTAGGTCATCTACTGGCATCGGAGGATTTCCGTTGCCATCCACGACGTTCCAGAAACCTCAAAGTCGCAAGGGACACCATACGGTAAATAGATCTGATATTCCTATGTACAACACTACAGTAAGTGTCAACCAATATTAGCTGTAGAGTATGCATGGCCTTTTACCTTCATCATTGACAGCAATTATCAGAATCTATTTATTGACAGTATTTGCAGAACAATTCTATTATAACAGTACTCCTACAAATACTAGAGTAAATAGATCACACATCGCTATATGCAAAGATTATGGTTACTATTAACCAATACTAGCTGCAGAGTGTGCACAGTCATATACCTACATTATAGGAGTATTGACAACAATTATCAGGATCTATTTATTGGCAGTGTTTGTAGAACAGTTATATTATAACAGTACTTCTATGGATACTACAGTAAATAGATCACATATCACTATATGTAATGATTACAGTAACTATCAACCAATACTAGCTATAGAGTGTGCATGGTCTTTTACCTTCATTACAGCAGCATTGACAATTATCAGGATCTATTTATTGGCAGTATTTGTAGAACAGTTCTATTATAACAGTATTTTTATGGATACTACAGTAAATAGATCACATATCTCTATATGCAACGATTATAGTTACTATTGACCAATACTAGCTGCAGAGTATGCACAGTCATATACCTACATTACAGCAGTACTGACAACAATTATCTGGCTCTATTTACTGGTAGTATTAGAGGTATAGTTTAACTGTACTCCTATGAAAATTACAGTAAATAGATCAAATATCGCTATATGCAATGATTACAGTCACTATCAACTAATACTAGCTATAGAGCATACATGGCCTTTTACTTTCATTACAGCAGCATTCACAATTATTAGGATCTATTTACTGCCAGTATTTGTAGAACAGTTCTATTATAACAGTGCTCCTATGGATATTACAGTGAATAGAACAGATATCGCTATATGCAATGATTATAGTTACTATCAACCAATACTAGTTGCAGAGTGTGCACAGTCATATACCTACATTACAGCAGCATTGACAATTATCAGGATCTATTTATTGGCAGTAGAACAGTTCTATTATAACAGTACTCCTATGGATATTACAGTAAATAGATCATATATCGCTATATCCAACGATTATAGTTATTGTTAATCAATACTAGCTGCAGAGTATGCACAGTCCCATACCTACGTTACAGCAACACTGATAACAATTATCTGGCTCTATTTACTGGTAGCATTAGAGGTATAACTTAACTGTACTATTATAAAATCTACAGTAAATATCTATTGTAAATTAACTACGGTCATGCAACGATAGTGACAGTCTGCTAGAGGTTGCAGACCAATACCTACCTTGAACTTCAAGGAGCTTCAATACTATACAGGCACCAAGATGTCGGTTTTGGATTTAAAGGGACCTGCTGTCTCTTGCAGCAGTCAGTCCCAAATCCAGAACAGTGTAGAAGGCTTTTAAAGTATTGTAATTCGTAAGGACTATATTCGCATAAATGTATATATTTCACCTACATTAAACATTATATATCTGTCGCTGTACAACCGAATACGGTTACTTCCCTGGACGCTAAACGCTTTGATTTCATCCCAGCAATTAGAACACTGTCAACCAATACTAGCTGCAGAGCATGCATTGCCGTTTACCTTCGCTACGGCAGCACTAACAACGATTATCACCCTAGGTAACCAAACACCGGTAACCCGGGGTAATCCTTCTTTACCTAGAGAGGAATTAACGAACTCTCTTACCGATCTTCCCGAGTATTACTTCCCATGCGTATCAAGTTCCTCCGAGGAACGTCGAACGAGCCTGCGATAGAGAGAAATTTTCATTTTCTCTCGACCGGTTCTGCACGGACGAGCGAATTCACCATGGCCGGGAGTCTCCCATTGCATTCCTTTCTCCTCGATTGCCAGGTATCGAAGCCATAATATCAATTTGAAGTATAACTCGCGTGGTACAGGTTTTGCGATAAAAATTCGACTCTTCTTGTTCGCTTTACTGACAATCTAGTTTCTCCGCGGAACTAGTACTAGGGATAACTAGTAACTAAGGATAACTAGTAAGATATACCGAACGAACCGTATTCTTCCCAGTTCCTGTTATAATATCATAATATCGATTAATCACATTCACAGAGAGATCATGATGCTTGTAAAACCACGAAGGATGAGCAGAAACGTTATTTTCACGAAATTTAATTCACGAAGAAAGTTTATAAACAAGGTTAGCCACTGGAGAGTATGGTAGTAGAGATAGTGATACGTGCCTTATCTGGTCGTCAAGCTCATGCACTTCCTGGGCCTTGAAGAAGCTTATATTTCTTTTAAAATATCTTCGTTCAAAATTGTATTATTTTAATTTGATTTGTCTCTATCAGATATACTCGATTTGCAGAATTTAATTTGCGAAGAAATGAATATGATTTGCGAAAAGTGAACGTGTAGAATGAATTCCGAGATAATCTTGGGGGCACGAGATATCTACAGTATCTTTAGATTTCGATTTTGTTAAATGAAACTTTTATTGACTTCGGAAATGAACCTTGTTCTTTCTTCTATCTGCCTGATGGCATTGCTTTGACTCTTCTGAAATAAATCTGGTAGATAATCAAGTGTTTATCGCGATTAAGGAGATATCGTGATTGAAATCTTGGAAATCTGGATGGATGGTTCCATTTTGGGGAAAAATTAGGCTATCGATATCAGCAACGTGTATTCTCTTAAATTTATTATGAGAGAACCTTGAGAATCATCATTATTGATTTCTCCCAATGTTTCTGGGAAGGTTCGAGGGATTTTGAGAATGGTTCGAAGCCGAGAGTCGAACATAACCTCTATCGCGTTAGAAAGATGGTTCCTCGCGCCATGCTCGATCTCCAATCCAATTTAAAAGAGAATACCAGCGGGTGAAGTGGAAGGTAAGCAAAGGAAGACCTGAATCGTGATGTGTTTGCTTGATGTATTCACAGAGGCGCTTCTCTTTCCCGTGAATCACCTGCACAAAAATATTTTCCCTTCCCTGTTCCTTTTTCCAACCCTTCTACAGAGAATGAAAGAAAAATCGACATAATTTCTCGAAAATTTATTCAGAAATCTTGCAAACTAACCTCAAACTCTGGTCAACGTTCTTCGATGCAAACCTTCTCTACAGAATGATAGAAAAATCGATAAAATTTCTCGAAAATTTATTCAGAAATCTTGCAAACTAACCTCAAACTCTGGTCAACGTTCTTCGATGCAAACCTTCTCTACAGAATGATAGAAAAATCGATAAAATTTCTCGAAAATTTATTCAGAAATCTTGCAAACTAACCTCAAACTCTGGTCAACGTTCTTCGATGCAACACTTATCCGCAGAAAGATAGAAAAATCGACAAAATTTCTTGCAAATTTATTCAGAAATCTTGCAAACTAACCTCAAACTCTGGTCAACGTTCTTCGATGCAAACCTTCTCTACAGAATGATAGAAAAATCGATAAAATTTCTCGAAAATTTATTCAGAAATCTTGCAAACTAACCTCAAACTCTGGTCAACGTTCTTCGATGCAACACTTATCCGCAGAATGATAGAAAAATCGTCAAAATTTCTTGCAAATTTCTTCAGAAATCCTGCAAACTAACCTCAAACTCTGGCCAACGTTCTACGAATCGATCGCCATTTTTATCCAAACCTCTTGAACCTTTTCCAGATTCTCCGAACGAATCTTCGCCCAACTTCCCTTCGTTTCGTACCTAATCGAGTGGTCGTTGAGATAGCAATGGAACCGACAATCGGACGCCATTTTATACGTTTCCGTTACCTTTCAGCATCTCCTTGATATCCTTGAGCGCCTGTTCAACAACCTCCGGCGTCTCGCGCAGTTCTTTCATCGCTATTTCCTTGAAGAACTCGTCGTCATCATCGAAATCCGCTTTCAACACGTAAGCACCTAACTGCAGTCCCTCCGCTATCTTCTTCGCTGCGGTGTGATCGGTACCCTGTCTCTTCTGCGACTCCATGTTGCCGCTGGCAGGCCTCAGTTCCCGAGAACCAGCTCTATCTGTCGGGCACACACGAAAAACTGGTTACAACTTGGAAACAGGAAAACAGGAAACGATCTTCCTTTCTTTTCTTTTTCGTTTCTCCACTCTTCTCTCCGCCCAACTGTATCTCTCAGTTGATATCTCTTTGGAGGCTGCAGGATGGCCGTTAATTGCTGGCTCTTTGCCGCTGCAAGTGTGACCTGATTATGCGAACGCCTGATTAAAAAATTTACATATGTACGTTAATATTCGGATGGGAAACGAAATATTGGACGTTGTTCAGGTCGTTGCGAATTTCTAGTGATCCTAGACTGTTTCTAGGGTGATTAGTTTTGTTTAACCTAACTCTAGAACTTCTAACACAGGGAACTCGCGAGCAATGAGATTATTTTAACGCTGGAAATGTTGGAATGCATCCATTGATGGGGAAAAGAAAAGCATAGGTGTTTCCAATTCTAAAGAGATCAAGGGTCCAGAGACAGTGAGCGCCTGGGTTATGTTTTTTCGACCAACACCTCATGACTCGAGGACCACCTCGAACGCTTGGGCTAGCTACTAAATAAAACAGCTCGTTTGCGACTAGACCACGGTACAGAGCTTTTCAGAGCTTTACACAGACACTGTGTCTTCTGTACCAGGTCCCCCTCACGTAAACAAAGACCCCTCTTTTCATTAACACGAAATAGTGCCTTGATTTCTTAAATACCCACGACATCCCTTCAGAACTATCGTGGGGGTGAAAATGACTAGTTTCATACCGATTTTTGTTCGAGCAGGATCACAATTACGTATGGTCTTCCATTTTCATCGTATCGTATTAATTAATACCAATTGCATGGATTATATTTAGGTGTGCATTATACATCGGTAGTGTTAGTGTTGATATCTGATTTGTATATATGTGAAATATCAATCTTTCAATTCGATTCGTTAATTATCGTCAATTAACCCATCTTCCAATCCAAATCTAACCCAAACCTAAGCGAAATCTCACAAGATGATCAAAAATCGAGGATTTCCGAAGTTAATTCATAGTTTCTTCTTGATTCATCGTTAACGCGTCTAATGGTGGTGAGTGTTTGAGTAAATATAGTGCAACTACGAGCGCGAGGTGTGCGAATATTTGCGAAACAAGATAAATATGCAAGCTGTATTCGTCCTGTCGTTCCTGGAATGTTTGCAGAAGCGTCTTTAATGTAGGCAGTCCTGAGACCTGACTCACTATTTACACGATCTTTTACTCGATCGTGAGAGCAAACGTGGATCACGCTCGGAATTTCCTTCTCACTCGATTGCGATGATTTTAACGAACGTTAATAGTCTAATGTCCCGAGATTGGTTCGTGATGACGTGTCTTGATAAGTTCGATATCGTTCTTCGTACACCAGTGCAGCATCGTTGCTGAAGCACTGCAAGAATCAACGTTTACATTTTTCCTTGTCGAATCGTTTGCAATGCAGCGGACAAAGTTCGCCTCGTTTGTTTATGTTTTATACGTACGCATCTTAATCCGATAATTACACATGACCAGATAAGATAATTAAAATGTCCGGGCGGTATCTAACGAGTGTACACAAAGATTAACGTCGTGCGAATAATTTTCCTACGCCACTGTCTTCGTTCTTTGTTTCTCAGCATGTGTATCCGTACACACGGAAGACCTTAATTGCACTCGAACCATGGGGTTCTATGGTTTCTGATATTGGAGTGAGAATTCGACGAAGAAAATTCCCACGATTTTTTCATTCCATTCCTCGCTTTATCCTCGATTATCTTTGTTTCAAATTCGAAATTTACTAAAGACTATAATTAGTTGGGTCATTAAATGAAAATAACTTAGGAAGTATAGTTCAAATCTCGATTTTGTAATTTGTTTTATGTTTACGATTTTTATATTATAGTTGAATAATTGAACTTCTTCCTTGGAAAGAAAATTTACCCCGAACTATAGTTAATTGCTACATTAAATTACAATAATTGAACTTCACGATTTTTTCATTCCATTCCTCGCTTTATCCTCAATTATCTTTGTTTCAAATTCGAAATTTACTAAAGACTATAATTAGTTGGGTTATTAAATGAAAATAACTTAGGAAGTATAGTTCAAATCTCGATTTTGTAATTTGTTTTATGTTCACGATTTTTATATCATAGTTGAATATAATTGAACTTCTTCCTTAAAAAGAAAATTCACTCTGAACTATAGTTAATTGCTATATTAAATTACAATAATTGAATTTAGGAGGTATAGTTTAAATATCGATATACTAATTTGGTTTAGGTTCGTGATTTTTATATCATAGTCCAATATAATCGATCTTCTACCTTAGAAAAAAAATTCACTATAGATTATAATTAATTGCTATAATAAATTGGAATAATTGAACCTAGGAGGTATAGTTTAAATATCGATATACTAATTTGGTTTAGGTTCGCGATTTTTATATCATAGTCCAATGTTCAAATCTCGATTTTGTAATTTGTTTTATGTTCACGATTTTTATATCATAGTTGAATATAATCGATCTTCTACTTTAGAAAGAAAATTCACTATAGACTATAATAAATTGCTATATTAAATTGGAATAATTGCTATACTAAATTGGTATAATTGAACCTAGGAGGTATAGTTTAATTATCAATATACTAATTTGATTTAGGTTGATAATCGATCTTCTACCTTAGAAAAAAAATTCACTATAGATTATAATTAATTGCTATAATAAATTGGAATAATTGAACCTAGGAGGTATAGTTTAAATATCGATATACTAATTTGGTTTAGGTTCGCGATTTTTATATCATAGTCCAATATAATCGATCTTTTTCCTTGGAAAGAAAATTTACCCCGAACTATAGTTAATTGCCATATTAAATTAGAATAATTGAACTTAGGAAGTATAGTTTAAATCTAGGTATACTAATTTGGTTTAGGTTCGCGAAATTTATATCATAGTCGAATATAATCGATCTTCTACCTTAGAAAGAAAATTCACTATAGACTATAATAAATTGCTATATTAAATTGGAATAATTGGTATACTAAATTGGTATAATTGAACCTAGGAGGTATAGTTTAATTATCAATATACTAATTTGATTTAGGTTGACGATTTTTATACTATAGTCGAATATAATCGATCTTCTACCTTAGAAAGAAAATTCACTATAGATTATAATTAATTGCTATATTAAATTAAAATAATTGAACTTAGGAAGTATAGTTTGAGTCTCCGTATACTAATTTGGTTTAGGTTCGCGATTTTTATATCATCAACGAATATAATCGATCTTTTTCCTTTAAAAAAGAATTCACCCCAAACTATAGTTAATTGCCATATTAAATTAGAATAATTGAACTTAGAAAGTATAGTTTAAATTTCGATATACTAATTTGGTTTAAGCTCGCGATTTTTATATTATCCTTAATAGATCGATCTTCGTCCTTGAAAATAAAATTCACTGTGAACTATAATTAATTGCTATATTAAATTGGAATAATTGAACCTAGGAGGTATAGTTTAAATATCGATATACTAATTTGGTTTAGGTTCGCGATTTTTATATCATAGTCCAATATAATCGATCTTTTTCCTTGGAAAGAAAATTTACCCCGAACTATAGTTAACTGCTATATTAAATTAGAATAATTGAACTTAGGAAGTATAGTTTAAATCTAGGTATACTAATTTGGTTTAGGTTCGCGAATTTTATATCATAGTCGAATATAATCGATCTTCTACCTTAGAAAGAAAATTCACTATAGACTATAATAAATTGCTATATTAAATTGGAATAATTGGTATACTAAATTGGTATAATTGAACCTAGGAGGTATAGTTTAATTATCAATATACTAATTTGATTTAGGTTGACGATTTTTATACTATAGTCGAATATAATCGATCTTCTACCTTAGAAAGAAAATTCACTATAGACTATAATAAATTGCTATATTAAATTAAAATAATTGAACTTAGGAAGTATAGTTTGAGTCTCCGTATACTAATTTGGTTTAGGTTCGCGATTTTTATATCATCAACGAATATAATCGATCTTTTTCCTTTAAAAAAGAATTCACCCCAAACTATAGTTAATTGCCATATTAAATTAGAATAATTGAACTTAGAAAGTATAGTTTAAATTTCGATATACTAATTTGGTTTAAGCTCGCGATTTTTATATTATCCTTAATAGATCGATCTTCGTCCTTGAAAATAAAATTCACTGTGAACTATAATTAATTGCTATATTAAATTGGAATAATTGAACCTAGGAGGTATAGTTTAAATCTCGATATACTAATATGGTTTATGTCCGCGACTTTTATATCATCGTCAATCGATCGATCGATTCTTCCAAAAGAAAAGAATTAACCCTAAATTCTAGTAAATTACTATACCATATTTAAACCAAATATTCCAAACTTCCTTCAACTTTCTCGCCCTAAACTTCACTGAACCCTTACATACCCTATAACTGTATATTATACTACAACTATACTAACACTAGTACAATATACAATATATATACAATATCACAAAGTCTTTCTAAAAATATCCCTACACCTTTCACTGTCCCCTTCTAAAGCCCTGAAGGTCCTGAGACCAGTGACCCAGGACCCAACACGAATTTCCAAATTGACCGAAAAAAGTCTGGAAATTAATTAGCGTACCTGAGGGAAGACTCTTGGTCCTTTCGATTTGCTCTTTCCACTGCGAGGGATGCGGCTGAGAGAATCCTACTTAGCTCCCTGTCGCTGAACAGCGATTCGTCTGACGGTATCCCGGAGCTTCAGAATGTTATTTCACGGTTCGCAAGCGAGAAGCTTCGACGTGAATTGCGAGGATCGTAGAGCGAATCGCAGGAACGAGGCGGGAAGAGATGGCCTGTTTGATGGGAAACAGGTTGAACAGGAGCATCCAGCTTGGTCGAGTCACTGGTGAAGACTGCCACGGGGCAGAACTCGCAAGTCGGAAATCGGCTAGAAAGCGAGAGCGTTTCTCCCACCTTGGCCGTTGTTTGCCAGGACGGAAACCATCGCGGAGGTTGCCCTTTGTCGAGGTCGTGCATAATTAAATTTCAAAGTGGACTGTGCCGCAGTGTCAAAAGGTGAACGTTGTAATCGAGTTGCGTGCCGTTTAACCTCAACCGTGATCGACCTTGTCTCCGATTTTCCATTTGCACTTTTACTTCCTGCTCTGCTTTCTTCTTGGGCTTAGCCTGCTTTACCTGACACGTTTCGTTGGGTCGTTTTGAGGTTAGGTTATTTTCCGAGGGGTCGAAGATAGTATTTGGTGATGCTTGTGAGGAATAGATTCGTTTCTGAATTTCTATCGTACAGTTCAATCATTGATCGATCTTTGACGAAGGCTTCTGGATATCTGATTGATTAGGGTAATGGTGGACACGCGGTTTCTTATCTTTTATCGCGTCGTCTGGTAGTGTTCGAGGAGCAAGAATCGTCCACTTTGTAGATTTTTATGGAAACCTTCTGTATCGCACAAATATCTTTTGATTGCACGTGTTTTTTTAAATGAAAAATTATGATATCGAGGAAAGAAAATTCTGAAGAGTTTAACCTCTCTTCTGTTTTTAATTAGGATGACTGCGATTAAAAGACAGAGTCATTGTGTCTACAAATGCCAAGACACGTGGCAGAGAAGTTTAATTAAAAATTAGAATATTAAAGAATGAAAATTCCTGTAAGTTATCCCACTCTTCTCTTTTTAATTAGGATGACTGTGATTAAAAGCAGAGTCATTATGCCTATAAATGCCGAGGCACGTAACAACGAAGTTCGGACTAAAAATTGGAATATTAAGGTAAGAAAATTCCGCTGAATTTGACACATCTTTCCTTTGTTCCCTTTTTGCTTCCTCTTCTTCTTTTTTAATTAAAATGGCTATGGTTAGAAGACAGAGTCTCTGTGACTATACCAGTACCAGGGCATGTTGGAGCACAGGAATTTCCGCGTGTCATTAGACCGAGCTTTCCTTTCGTCCCAGTTTTAAATTGCGCCCTAAATCGAGTCGACCTGCTCGAGTTGAGTCAAGTTCGAAAGTGATTCAGGTTCTCTCATATTCCGTGATCCATCGTCGCGTTCTAATTGAATCGATCGAAATTGAAATCTCCTTGCAATGTCTGTGGGAAAGTAGAAGAAATTACTATGCAACTTTGTCACTTCTCTTTCTATTTCCAGTGTTAATATTCCTGGAATATGATTATGGACACTTGTTCAGTAATTAGCGTCGGTTTTATCTACAATTGTTGCAAAAAGGATTGGCTGATATGTTTCGTCGATCGAGCTGTGTATGTGCAAAACAACTACATGCGTGTTAATCCTCTACTACAATTTTCTTCCCCTATCTCGAAGAGAAAAATTTCACAGTGAGATCTTCTTAGCCTCTCAGCAAGATACTCTTCTTCGTTCTATCCTTGTTCGCGCATCGAAATTTCCGCATGGTAGTCGCTTCCAAGTATTCTCATAACTCTTCTCCTTGTCTGACCCGAACCTAACCTCAAACTTTCGTAAGAGCGCAACCTCCTCGATACAAAGAGTATCGAAAAGAATGAACGAATCCCACTCCTCGTTTTGAAAAAATCATTTATAACATGTAGAGGTATTAATTTTCCGTACAAAAGTATACAATAAATTGGAAATACATCTCGAACGTGCAAAGGCAACAAACCTTAAAATGCTTAAAATATTTTGTACAAAATAGTGCAATCACAGAGAGAAGAAGATCTTTAGTATAATTTCAGTGTATTGTAGTCTCCCTTAGCCTATTGTTCCTTGCGAGATCCATACGTGTTCCATTCTGAAAAATAATAAAAGGAATCTCATCAGTCGTGCTCGATTGCCTGGAAAATCCGTGTTGCATTTAAAGCCGATTAATTTCTCTTGCCTTTTAGCATGTTTTCGTGTTTGAGCAGAACGGGATACCAATCAGCGCTCGTGTAATTCATTTTTGGCATATCGCCACCGTAATCCTTGGGCAGGTGACTAGCCGGGATGTAGGCGTGAAGAGAAGACATCTTGCTACCGTGGAAGAACATGCGTTTCTTTAGCTTTTCCCTGACGAAGGGCTTGAACATCTGCCACACCATGTTGAACAGGAACGGTTGTTTCAGGATATGCACCTAGAAACGGTCGTGCAATCAGCATTCCCTCGACGTGTCAAAACGTCACGCGAAGTAATTCCATTTCTGGGTCAATGGGGTTGCGTAATGACCGAATCAAGGATTTCTTAACTGCATCGCGACATGGCGAAGTAGCCTGAGATATTCTCGAATCGATGAAATCTCAAATTTACGTACCTCTTTCAGACGCATAGGCATGGCATCCTGAATGAAGTTCAGTAGCTTCATGCTGAAGGTTGGCGAGAATGCCATCACTTGCTTCATGGACAGACCATCGAAATCCATCATCACAACGACACCGTTTATCTACAAAATCACGTATATATAACGTATATATAACGGGCAACGTTTAAAGAGCAAGTCACGAACTGCTGGAGGAGGAACTGTTTCCCTCGCAGCTTGCGTTGCTTTACATAACCGGGTAATCACGAGTGTTGTACGCGACATTACCGAACCACCAGTGTTACAAAACAGTTCGTAGGCAATCCACATATCGCTCACCTGTGTTAGTGGTTCACGCATAGCTATCACGTGAATCATATAGAACACTCGAAGTATCTGATCAGTGCTGACTCTCGAGGGATCCCAGCTTCTGCCACAGTTCACCAGCATTACTCTTCGACCCTTGTGGTCTCTTCCTGTCAGAACGTTGACCACGTTGTTCTCCAGTATGGTTGACTTCTCATCCGTCGGTAGCAGGTTATCAAGCAGGGACGAGTTCTTTTCCTTGAATTCTATAATCCTCTTTATCAGATCGTAGGCGCTCTTCGCGTAGAACTTGCATGGCCGCAGGAAGATCAGCAGAAATTCGTCGTCCGTATTGAAGTAAAGGGTCTTATCCTCTGCAAATGGAAGAGAGACGTTAGTCACGAGAAATTCATCCACTCGTGGACCGTTCTTCTCGGTATTTTTTAATTAAAGGGGTTGAAACGCGACTCGGACGCGAAATAATTTCCCATCGCACGACATAGCTATGCGAACGGAGCATCTGACCATAAATCAACGATCCATACCGCAAACGATAGAGTCACGTTACGAATATTGCGTTTTCCACCCAATCGGAGAACTATGGACGTTAAAAAAACATGTACTGCTCCTACTGTATCGCATCGATAGCCGTGTTATCCTATGACCCCTATGTAAATAAGGGTCTGCCAGGTTAAAATGAAAAGACATTTGTCGGTGTCTCTTCATCTTTATTCATAGTGCAAATAAACAAGCGTGAAATGTTTAAGAAAATAGAAGTGAAGTGTTTAAGAAAATAGAAGAACCTATTCGACCGTCGCGAAACGAATGACACAATGACGAATTTTGGCAGCGAATAGGCAACGTGGAAATTTTGCCAATCGAAACCGTAGAAACTGGAGGAAAATTCAGTCGGCTAACTCTCGAACGCAGACTTTTGTAACAGCCAGATGAGAGTTCCGACGTTAGTTGAGCATGAGCAATCACCTATGTACGTAATCCAAGAATCATGGAGCTAACAACCTATTCATAACTTTTCCACGTGGCAGCTATTAATTCTAATTCCGCGCTTTGCAATTAAAATTTACCATCACTGACATTTCAAAAAGTATTACTCCGGGAATATAATTGGAGGAATAATTTTCATTTCATCGGCGACCACAGACACGAAAGATCGAACTGTCCTCGCGTGCAAGCAGCTGAGACCTCTTCCGTAGGAAATTACCTTCGTGTTCCTCGTTAAGGAAATTGCTGCGACCTCTGTTCTGCTCCTGACTTCGAAAGTGGAACTGTCGGACAAACCAGCTCCGATACCAAACACCGCCATGGTGAACCAAGAACAGAGAACAGGGCCACACTTACCGACGAAAGTTAAGAAACAAAGTGACCATTTGCAAATTTTTATCTGCAAAAATATTTTCTTTTTAATCTTTATCTGTGTATATCGAAAAATAAAGCTGCAAAATATTTTTTAATTCATTTATTAATTTTACCAGCAAGTGTATCCTGCAGGATTCGAATAGACAATAGAGAGACATTTCACAATTTCTCTTCGGAAAAGGAGAAAAATGTCGGTTTTCTTATCGCAACCGATCTACTCCGTTTTAATTTCTCGAAGACTTACTTTAATTCCAGCTGAAATTATAACTACGACAAACTTTATCGCCAATCGACAGAAAAACTTCTAAACTAACCGAGATAAGGCTAACATGAAATTCTCTAAGGTTATGATACGTAACATAAGTCTCGCATTCGCAAAAATGCCACTTAGCCGCGGCTTCTAGCGATTTTTCTCTAAAAATATCGACTTTAAAGACGATTTCGCATAAATTATAACATTGCAACGTTTATAACATTTGCATAAATCGGAATATATTACTGGTAGCTTTGATATGACAATTTTCGCGACTTATTGTCAGTGTAATTCCATGTTTCGAAAAAAAATTACAAATTTTCATATTTCCTACTTTCGTATACAGCAAATTAAACGTTGAATACACGCGAGTACCATCTTCCATTGCGAATTACTCCCAGAACGATAGAACGAGATATTCGTCCATCAAGGAATCACCTGATATAACATAACACTCGGTACACGTTCGAGTACACCGTACGGCATTTTTCTCCCTATCGACCATACTCCTCGTTACCCTAGCAATCAGCGACAAGTGGATTACGAAGCTTCGTGTATTATTTCAGTCACGATTGCTCGAGTATCCTAGCATAACGACTTATTCCCAACAAACGAAATAATTTACAAGATAAAAGGGGCATCTAACGTACGAAACCTAACCTAACCTAACCTAACCTGTGAATCTTCCGACAAACCGTTACTGTCCAACCACTGTCAACGTCGATTGTTCCCAAGATTTGACCTAGAAACAACCTCTTGGATCTAGCAATCGGATCATTTAGCAATGGTGGACCTCTCGTAAAACGAAACGATCGAGGATCCTCGTGCCACGCGAAAGATGGCGTCCAGTGTCAGGATTATTTCCTGACACTGTCAACGCGATCCTACGCCAGTGCAACGAGAATTTTATCTCGCATGTTTGAGAATCTTATCTCTGCGTGAGAGGTCAAGGTCCGCGGTGTTATCACCGAAGATTTCGAATCTATTATCAACGATCTACGATCGACACCAACCGCGTAACTACAGGTTGTTTACCGCGTGTTTACCGGTAGCCAGAAATTTGATAAATTCTCATTCGAGCGAGAAAAAGCTGATGTTAGCATCGTGGCGCAGATAACAGACTTATCTAAGAAAAACCAGCTTGACCCCTAAGTTTACTTTCAGATGCACTCACGGTCGACTAAGATCGCGCACCATTTTACCAGTATGTCGAAATGTAGAACGATTTCTTGGTATATCTACTAAAACTGTCTTTTGTTTGACCGAGATACGGCAAAAATCGGTGATAGTTGAATGAAAATATCGTTTTTGGAAAATGATTGACAGAGGTATTGCGAAAATGAACGCTGCTTTGTTACTGGAGCCTAGTAGTTTCGTGATTACACCTAAATGTGGTGTAATTTGGGAATAATAATTGAAGGTTTGCAATTAGAACGAGTGAAAACATCTCGAATATCTTGAAATTGGATGTTAATTTTTTGGGAAATTAATTTTCGAAATTCGATAATCTATGGAATAAATAGTTCCGACTGGTCTCATATTCCTAGTGTTGACTCGAAATAGTAACTTGCTGATTAATAATTCCTAATGACTTGCATCAACGTTATTAAAATTGCTAATGATTCGAGGTAAAGTAAAATTCAAATGAGATGGTTCAATTGTCATGCAGATCACGATATTGAAATTATTCGAATAGAATCGAGCGTAAAAATCGTAGAGGGAAGTCGAGACTGAAAATGGAGTAATTTTATAGTCGAGATATTCCGTAATTTCTCGTTAGACTGCCTTTCTGTTATACACAATATCTAGTGGGCACTATAGAAATTAAGATAATTTATCAACGGTATGACAGCGAGGAGAAACAAAGATAATACGTAATGTTTTCAACTGATTTCGGTTAGCAAAGTATGTAAAACGAAACAGTGGAACGAAGCTTGTCTGAACACTGTGAAACCTTGCTTCGCGAATACGTGGAATCGCGTAGAAATCTAATTGTTCGCTTGTTTACAAGAGATGATAGTCGTACATAGATTAGCCTTTCATCGATTTGTTGTCGATTACCAGGAGCTGCGAGTACATACACATACAGCTGGACTCCAAAGTTTCATTATGAAATAAAATTTACACGAAATACGGAGCAAGCTACACTTTATCTTCCTTGCTCTCTTACCCTTAACATCATTGGTAACATTGTTGGTCGAACGTCGTCAGAGCTAGGGTCTACTAACCCAAAAATCCAAAGATTCAAAGGCCCTAAAACGAATCTCCAGCGAAGAGATGCTGAAAAAATCCGAAAGAACGATGGAAACTCACCCTTGATGTACTCCTTCAACGCGGCCAGCCCCTCCTGCACGTTCTTCTCTATCTCTCTGAGCTCCTTCTCCGCGACAGCCAAGACTTCCGGTCCCGGCCTCTGCAAAACTATCTCAAACGCCATCCTTCAGGTTCCTGATTCCCGATCGATGACCGATTGAACGTGTGGCGACGAATCGATCCTCGCAGCAGGACGACCACAATATATCTGTGACCCGATATATCTCGCACGAGGAGAAGGAGGTCTCTTCTTGTCCACCATCTCGATCCAATCTTTGACCGCTCAAAGTCCAATTCGTAGCGACCGCCCGATTCCATGACTGTTGCGCCGGCCGATTTCGTGACGCCTAGTGTACTCTGGAAGACGAGGCACATCAACGACACGTCACTTAATAAAACTATCTCCCGGAAATACGATGCTCGAGTGTACCGGCGAGTCATCGATTGATAAGCCTCCACCAATGTGGGGAGCTAATCTTTCAATCGCCTTCTCGACGGTATAATGAGAAACATCGGGTACCACGGGGACAAAGACGATCCTACGCTGGGTCCAACGCTCGTCTAACACCTCGGGATGCCGAAGGCAGCCATAAGTCCGGGTTTCTTCGTTTCGCTCCTTCGAAACTGGTCGAACACCTCATCTAGACGAGATGGACGTTTTGATCTTCTCTACATAAAACTGTGCACGTTGCTGAAGACACGGGAGTAAATTTCAAAGTAACCTTCTCTACCTGGTGAAGATGAGGAAACGGGATTTCGGAATTCCCTTTGAAGAAATCGAATCGAAAAGGTGGTGTAAGAGTAGGATGTTTTAGTCTTCTTTGCAATCTTCTCTAACCTTAAAATTAAGGTTAGAATGTTGGAATTAAGTTGAAATGTAGATTAAAATTGAGGTTCGACTGTAGCTGGAGTGAGTTTGATGATGATACGTAGAATCTTGAAGTTTTATGTCCTAAAATAAAAGTATCTTGTCTTTGTATTCGTTCCGGCAAATAAAAGGTATGGGGAAGAACGTGCTGGATGTGTTCCGCTGTAAAAGAGAGGTTAACTTTGTGCACTATGTATATTAATATACGTACATTGACTGCCGAATCATGTGCCATGGTTTCTCGTATCTTGCAGTAGAGGATGCATTGATAATTTTTTCATCGGCGTCCAGAGAATTCCATGCATGAGTCAAAGATGGCGGAAGAAGATGGAGCAAACTATGATTGGAAGAAACATCGTTGGAAATGAAGTCCGATTATTTTAGATACAGAAGGTATTTATCTATCGCATAATACGATTATAACTCGTGTTCTTTTAACCCATGAACTTTTATCTAGAATGTATCTTCAAAGAAATGCAAGCAGTGGATTTATCAGATTAGATGGATGTTCGATTTCGTTTCATCGTTCTTTGATGGCTCTGTTAAACAGCGCTGATTAATTTCTGAAAAATGCGATTACATTCGTTCGATGACACATTAAATGTAAGTAAAAATGAATTAATATATATATATATAATGTGTGCAAATAAAAAAAAGCAATACTGCGGTAGGTTAGGTTAACTATCGTCAATATCGTTGAACAATAAAAGCATTTGTTCTTTGAAGGAAAAAAATAAACAAATAAATTGTATATTTCGATAATCAATTTGATAATTATTTTTTATTATTAATTTCGCCATTAAATTACTTACTGCATGAAATGATTTTACTGACTTCAGTGATGCTTTTGTGAATAACATGACGGCATTTTGTAAATAACAGTTCAATGTCTATTTTAAAATCCACTTCAAATATTTTTGAACAATTTTGGTATCAAAGCACTGGGTTGATGTTAAATTTCTTACGTATGAAACAAATTTCTATTTTTCATTTTATGGAGTTAACCAGACTGACAAATAGGCGGTTCATTTAAGTCAAATTCAGGCCAAAAAACATCTGAAAAAGGAATATGGAACAATTTTAGTGCAGTGTCTTTTGTTAACAAATAGCATAAAGAGTATCTTGCGAGGAAATAATGTACAAAATTAATCTAATTTCTTTTGCAAATCATACTAATTCGTAGAATAATATACTCTCGGCGAATTAAGCGTACGATTAAAGTCCGCTGTAATAATTCCGATGACTCAAAGGAATAAAATCATAGCGATTATTTTCCATAAATACCTTACAATGATATTCTATGCTATGCTATCCTATTCAATGAAAAGGGAAGGGATACAGTGCATCTGTGATTCAAGGTTAACTAATCATCATTTGCAATCAAATAATCAGTGATTGACATTGCACCTAGCAAGAATGCTAATTAATTAGGAAATTAAATATTAAGACAAATTACTATTTTCTGTAAATAATGATCATGATTAAAGATTCTGTCATTAACGATTGCATCATCATAATAATAAATGATAAAATGGCACGTGGTTCATTACGGTAAATCTGTCACGGTTTCATGGTTAAACTTTACTTTTTAAATCTAGTTCGAACGTATGCATTGTTGCAAAGTAATCTTTGGTCATCGATTCTGATTAATGTTCACAACTTACACATTATTACGTTCACGTTCTACACGTCCCATGATCATATTAATAAATTCCTTTCCGAGATAACGTATAAGCACCTAATTTACAAATGAATGAATATTGTCTGGTTTTTATCGGACGTTTCAATGTTTGTAAGTTTAATAGTAGTTTGGAATAATTTTCGTTTTTGCCGGGTGTTTTGAAAAACGATAAAATAACGAACATGTGACGATATGTATTCTAGATTAAACAATAGGACACGGTAAATAGGAACTAATAAGCATAGGGCATGCTCAAACGCATTGTGAATAGGAAATACCAGAGACTTCCCCCTCTCAAAGAGCTTAGACCATATGTTCGATCACGTGGTTAATGCTATGGTCGAATAAAAATTAGAACGTCCATCTATTCATATTTTCGTGTAATTTAATTTCTCATTTTCGAAATTTATTTCGTGAAAATATTCTGATAAACATTTCGTTACGATGTCGTGTTGCTGTATGGAAACAATTACAAGATCAAAATTGGATAATTACGGTAAAGGTTGTATTGTATTTAGAGCGTACATTTGCATACCTGTATTGCGCAGAACGTGGCCAAATATATGAAATTGTGCGAAGATATCTTTCTTTTTATACAGTATTTCCTAATGCGATCTAATCGATTGTTCACTTTAATGTAGGTTGAAGTTTTATATTTTTATAATTAAAATTAATTTTATTTTCCGACTAGTGTGTGCACGAAACATGTATAATGCAAAACCATACATTGTTATGATTTCAATTTTGTAATCGAAATTATTATATTAAAACTTTTGGCAGTTGTTAAATTAATTTATATTTATCGGTGGAATATTTGAGAAATTGATTAGTTTGGATAAATGCGAAGGCCGGCGAACCAACTTAAATCGGTCATGTTTATTTTCATCCTATTGTTCTTTATCGCGCGCACTTTTAATAGAGGGCGCCTCAATATCAATACCATATCGACAACCACGACCACTGTTTTTAAATCTAGAACATTCCCGCAGATGGCGGTAGATGCACGTATGGTGATTGTTGTATGTATTTCGAGCGTGTGATCTTATTAATCTCCGTAAAGTCGTGTTCGTCAAAACGAGGAAGACGGAAACAACAAAAGAAAAAGAGAAAAAATTTTCTTCTGTGATATTTGTTTTTCCCGAGTGTCGCCGCATCCGCGGCGTTTATCTGCATTTAGCGTTGCTCGTTCTCGTGGTTAGCGTCCGAGTCGATTAAAAAGAGGTAGAAGGAGGGCGTTGTGGCCCAAATTTCATCAGTGATAGCGATACACGATGTCTGAAGACCAAGTAAATCCGATCGACGGTATTCTACCGTTTTTACAAAGCGTAAGTATTACAGCTCTTTTAATTTTTGCTGTGTCAGCTTCGTTATCTGTCATTGACACTTATCTATTTTTCTTTCGATGTATTCGATTTATCGAGACATCGTTGCTTTATTCCTTTTTGTTCTCAGCAGCCACTTTCGTTTTCAACACAGCCGGCGGAAAGTGTCAATATGAAACTACTAATGCACATGTTAACCTAATTTACTTGTAGTTTAATTACATTGAATTATAAAAGTTCATCTGCTCACCTCGTCATACGATTTGTATGGATTCCCTAGCAGTAATAATATAACAAACATCGTATAAAAGTCGACCAATTTTCCACCGAGAATTTATTTTTAGTGCATGCATGATGACTTTGTACTTTTATCTCATTCCTAAATGCAAGAATTATATACCCAGTTTTATAAGTCGATCAATTGCTACGTTCCCGCGTTCGTTTAGTAGACATAATCTAGTAGTATATCAAACACTATATATCTACAAATTTATTTGAAATGTTTTATGCATATCGTAAATTATACGTAATTAACTTAATAAATATTCACTACGTATCATGTTTTCGTATTTCTTCCTCTTCTTTCTGTTTTTTTTTTAATGTAGTTGTATTTGTGTCAATATACTATATTTTTATTTCATTATATAATACCATTGTACAGAAGACATAGAAATGCAACTGCTTAAATTAAACTGTAATTCATTGCAGATTGAATGGCGGGATCCATGGCTTGTATTCCTATTGATTTTCCATATCGCCATTACAATGACTGCATTAATGACACGGAATCATGCCAATTTTCAAATTGTATTATTCCTTGCTTTGTGTAAGTATATTTCATACTAAAAATAATCAATGTACTATTTATTATCATTATACTAATGTATTTATGTTGCAGTACTCTTGGTATATTTCTCTGAAAGCATAAATGAAGTTGCTGCATCTAATTGGATGTAAGTATCTTATGATTATAAACAATTATAATGTTACTTTGACAAGAATACAAGTAAGTAATAAAACGTGTCTAATATATTTATACAATTTTTAAAGGTTGTTTTCAAAGCAGCAATATTTTGATTCCAATGGACTTTTTATATCAGTAGTATTTTCTGTGCCTATCTTGATGAATTGCATGGTCATGATTGTAAGTAGATACAAAACTTTAATATTTAAAATAAACTTGTATATATTTTTATTAATACGTTCTCTAGTACTCGTTTAGGCTAGCTGGCTTTATCAGTCCAGTCAGTTGATGACTAGTTTAAAACGGGCCCAATTAAGGCAGCAAATAAGAAATCACAAAATTAGAAATGAATCTTTGAACGCAAATGGCGCTGTTGTAAAGGAAAAGCAAGAGTAATATTTCTAGTCTAATAACAAGAATGAAGAAAATGGAATACAAACATGTAAATTACTATGAAACAAGTATGGGCTTGTTTTTGCCACAAGTAGAGTGGCATATAACAGCACTATAATATTCGGCGAATGTTTAATATAGCATTTTTTAAAACGCTACTGCCGACATAGTAATTGCTGTAATTCATATTGAAGTTGACTAGTTTCACTGTCGGTTGACTACTTCCAATATTATGCCGTATCTGTTTGATAATTAGAGTGTGAATTCAAAATCTTGTAAATAACTTATTTATTTAGGAACAACGATGTACTAAATTGCGGAACGGCACGTAATTTGAAAATTACTAAATGTTACATACTTCGCGAGAGAATATTGTTATCTTATATTAAGGTACATTCTGACAGTTCTCTACTTTTATTTTAACATTGAGATATTCATTACGAATCAATGTTCTTAAAGCATTATCATTGTACTTACTATTGTAACACATATTGCTTGTTACGAAAGCTAATGAAAAGAACGGCATAATTAGATAATCATAGCTCTTGGTATATATGTACGTATGTGTGTATGTGTATACGCGTGTATGTGTGAATAAGTATAATTTTTTCAAATTCGCAGTTTTAATCAGAGTATTATGATACATATTACATTCAATTAAACACCTTTTTATGTTGTATATTTGTGTAAATGAATAACTTCTTGCCGTTGCAATATTTATCGCGTGATTAAGTTTATGTAATAAAATATTTCTTCTTAAAACCGTGTACTTTTTCTTATTTCGATTCCTAAATCATATTAAACAATAATGTTATTCGTTGCAGATGTATACTATTGTTTGCAACAAAATATTTGTGTAAGCCTATAAATAAAGAATCTACAAACTTTATGTTTCTGCCACTCCCAATATTATTTTAATACAATGTTACAATTATTGAATTGTCTGTAATTATGTTTGCTGCAATAAAATGTACACAGCTAACATCAGATATGGGGTATAAGTTAGACTTATTACTTTATGAAATTACTTGTGCTTTGTTTCGAAATATCGATCCTACAAGAAATCAGAGCAAAGATGAAGTACAAGATAGACTTATGCCAACTTGCATTTTGAGGGCACTAAAACTCACTTAGTATTTAAGTGTCACTCCCAATTTTATTGTTTCAGCATAGAATAAGATTACAAACACCTGATCTGTGTTCATACTGATTGAAATTAAAACTGAATTTTACTATGAAATTATAAATAAGATACAAGGTTAAATGAAGTACCGTTAAGGTATAAAATTCTTTCCGAATACTTTATTTAGTTTATACCTTATTCATGATTCCATAATCAAATTCGGTTTTAATTCCGAGAACTATTAGCATTTTAATCTTATTCCATCTTGCGTCGGTAACGTCGAAAATGACAGTAAAATCCTCAATACATCGTATAGTAACATCACAAACTAGGCATAATATATAGTAAATGATATTGTTCATTCAGTATGTTAGCTATATGTAGTATTATAATATCGCATACAACGATACAAAGAAATTAATTTTCTTGTATATTAGTAATTTAAATAATTTTATGCATTAATATTATTATTTTGTAATTAAATAAGATGATTTTACGAGTATGTACGTATTTATGCATGAATCATTCTAATATCGGTAAAACTGTAAATCTAATTTTTCGAAATGTATCCAAAAGTTCCATACTTATGAATAAAACGCCAAATACTAACATTACAGAAAGTCGTTTATCAAATAGCGATGCAAGTAATAATATAGATCACTCTAAAATACTAACAAGAAATGTGAAAAGTGATGAAAATATTGAAACCAACAGTAATATCACAAAAGTGCAGAGTGAATTAATACAATCACATGATATTAAGTTCTCAGAAAACGATATCTATAATTTAAATGATGTAAGCGAACCAGGACCATTTGACCATTGTGATGAAGACCTGTCGCACATTGGACCTAATATAACACCGACTTATAATTTTGCAAAATTTGCAAACGAGTCTAATACAATTCGACAGTTAGTAAATCTAGGAGTTGAATTGTACAAGTTAGAAGCAAATAGGGAAGTACTAGAAATGTTTTTAAGTCTTGATTTTGACACAGATATGAAACCATACATACAATTTTTACATGATTGCGGTGTACATTCTGAAAATCTTGGACATTTTATCACCAGAAATCCAATGATTTTTAAAGAAGATATAGATGATCTTCATACAAGAATAAGATATTTAAGAGCTCATAATTTTAGTGTAGATATGATACAACAGATAGTAAATAAACATCCTCCTTGGTTATCTTTTAAAACAAAAGAAATAGATTGGAGACTAGGATATTTTCAACATACATTTAAACTCAGTGGTGTACAAATAAAAGGTGTATCTACAAAGTGTCCAAAATTAATAACATATGATATGAAACGAATAAGAAGAAGCACTTTTGCTGTAACGAAACAAATGGGTTTCAATACATTTGAAACAAGGCTTATTTTGTTAAATGCTCCACGTGTATGGATTCGAGGTAGTTAAGGCTTACATTCAATTATAATACTGATAATGGATTAATCGCAAAATATTTATGTAATTTGTTAAGATTTAAATATTTTATTCTCATTTTAGCTAGGACAGAAGTGGTTAAAACTTTTGATTTAAAAATATTTTATTCTCATTTTAGCTAAGACAGAAGTGGTTAAAACTTTTGATTATCTTCATAATGATATGAAGTTATCACATGATATTATAAGTCATAATGCAAAAGTTCTACAATGTAGAAAAAGCAGATTAGAGAGAAGACATCGGTTTTTAGTAGAATTAAAAAGAAATCAGTATGACCCTACAAAGCCATTATATGTATCTCCATTAAATCTAGTCATAGGTAGTGATATTGATTTTTGTGACAAAATTGCCAAAAGTTCTTTAGATATTTATAATAATTTTATAAAATCTTTGTAATACATAAAATAAATATATTATAATAAATATCTATATCTTCAACCGTCTTTTGTAGCAGTATAACCTTTATTGTATACATTTTACTTAAATATTAGATATTCTTACATATTTCTATGAATCTTTATTTACAACTTCATATATCTTACACAAAAATGTTTAATTTGTTGTGCTAATACAATTCAGGACATTATAAAAAATTGGTAGAATCTGTATCATTACATCAGCATATTTTCTGTCTTTTTTTTTCTTTTATAATACCTTCAATCATAAACCAAATTATTTTTACTGACATGTATAGTTTAAATCACTGTCATATATCATACAAAATATTTTTAAGTATACTATAATATTTTTCAAATCTGTAAGCTTGATCTGAATTTTAATTATACTTTCCCAATTCTATTTTTTTCTGTATTGCTCTGATCGAATGATACAACAATGAATCTATTAATCCAGCAACTGTAAACACACCACCGATAATTGCACACGCATTTGTTGCGAAATGGCCAAACGATTTTGCTTTTTCTGTGTATTTTATCATTCCTGATTCACCACTAAACAAAGACACTTGTCTGGCGTGTCGAGTTACAGAAAATTGATTTGTCAATAATGTAGAACCATCTGCACGTACATAGGTCGTCGGTACAATTTTAATATAATGATAAAACATCATTGCACCTGAAATAAAAACAATGAAATACCTGTGTAGTGTTTCAACTGCAGAAACAAAAATTATTACAAATGTGCATTGAAATTATGTCTAACAATTTTACATTTCAAAATTGAAAGCATTACTATTATATCACATTTCTATAAAACATTATCATATAAAACATCTATGTATAAATTGAGTAGTCCGCCATCAGTAATGACGTCATAGAAAACGGAAGCACAGGAAGCAGCCATCTTATATCGATTATCGAAAAACTAACATGGCACCTTTATCGCATTGTCCAAACGAACTGTGCTAAGGATTTATAATTTATAAAATTTGGAAAAACATAATAAAACAAAACTACGTTACAAATTTCAAGATCAAACGCTTAAACCGTGAGTGATGCTGATTATAATGGGCATTTATAAATTTTTTTATGTGTAAAACAAACATAATTCAAATTATTGCTAAAACTAGTTTACAATGTGTTACAAATAATTTATAAATCATGTGTTGAATGATTAACTAAATATTAGTTTTTACCACATTCATTCATTAATTTGTTTATTTGTTTATTTAAAAAAAAGAAAAGAGAAAGCATTAGTGTTTATCATAAGTTAGCTATTTAAAAAATAAGTTAAGAATATATATGCATTTTTAAAGAAATTGTATTCATAGAACAAAATGCCACCTGTATCAAACATATATCATCAAGCTCCTTCATGCTGGGATAGGGTAAAACAGGGTTTTATGATTGGATTTTGTGTTGGCATGGCATCTGGTGTTATATTTGGCGGATATTCTGTTATTAGGTGTATATTTATATATTCTAATCAAATCTATAAAATATTTAAAAATGAAAAGCTAATCATATATTTATTGCCAGATATGGACTACGAGGAAAAGAAATGATAAGAAATCTTGGGAAAGCAGTGCTTCAAGGTAGTGGAACATTTGGAACATTTATGGCCATAGGAAGTGGAATAAGATGCTAAGATTTCAAAACTTTTGTGTTTAACGTTTAGGATACAGAAAATTGTAGTATCAGAATATTCTGTTAATTTCGTAATAAAATTTTTCTATGAAGCAGTAGCATACCTTCCATTGCAACTACTGTGATATCATCCATAGGATTTGTTTTTCCTGGAATATTTAGTCCAAAACTTAAATGGCGAATTTTGTGGGTCATGTTAAATTGTGTTGATGTATATGGCTGAACATCATGCACTGTAAGCAAAATGAAAAGTATCACAATATTATGTACTTTGTTTCATGCAAGAAATAGTAATATAGTTTTTAATTACCATGTACGTGATTCACAGAGAAACTATCTCCTGGTGCAATGTGAAAACTTCCACCTACTCTATTCACTTCCATATAACCATAGATTTGACACCCTTGTGTAAATGCAATTTTCATTTTTTCCACTGATTTGTCATTTTGACATTGTTTTATTTCCCCTAAAGGTGGAAATGCCCACTTTTTAAGCCTATAAGCATCTCTTACTTCTTCGCAAGTATTACAACACCTGTAGAGTTATTTTAATTATATGAAATGTTTACATAAATACAAATATAAATTTTTGTAATTCCATACCTGATAACTTCGCTAGCAGCTCCATAACAATCCCCACATATTTTTTCAGTACTACTCTCTACTGTCTAGGAAAAATTATTATGTCCTTATTAATATACGTTTGTAAAGTTATGTTATAAATATATAATAGATGTGCAAGAATGGCAGATAATTTAATTACCTTTGTTACTGTTTTACTAAGTGCTTTTGTGTCAGTAATATCTATAACAAAATGAAAAAAATATTAGCTTAATATTATTTATTTCAAATATCCTAAATTTCTTACAGCATCAGTTATTTTGTACCTGTTCTTTGTGGATCTTCTATGGGTTTCCCATTTAAGTCTAAACGTCTTTTAAAGATATTATGTTCAATTTGTAAATGTTGTTCACCTGTTGTGTCCATTGCATCTATCGATAAAACTGCAATATATTTCATTTAATATACACTTCTATATTATTTTTTTATGTATATGTATATAAAAAATAATCTATACTTACGATCACAAGATACTGCAGGTACAATTATATCTAAGTTAATTCTTAACTTTGAACCCCTTGAAGTATCTACAAACAGTTCCTGACTCAGGGTTGGTGTAAGATAATAATTTACTTCAGATAGAAACAAAATACCCATAATAATAGTACTAATAATTGTCACTGAAAAACACAAGAAGGTATATAAAAAGTAAATATAGGTTATAAACTTTATTTACACTTGACAAATATAAACAATAGTCACAAGATAGTCAAAAGTTTTAACCAATACAATATTTAAAAATTGAAATACAGTTCTAACAATATAGAAAAAATGATAATATTTAATTTAGGAAACAGAAGTATGACGAATGTTTTTAAATTTATTAAATATTGTCGATCAGTGAGGTTAACCGCATTTGTTTATCACATTGTATTGTCATTAAATAATGTGTAAAACTGTAAAATGAAATGATTTAAGAGTTTATGAATATTGCGATGATCTAAGAAAATTGGTATATTCATATATTCCAAATTGGTAGAGACAAGCAACAATTGATAGACGACAGGTGTCTAAAATTTGACAAGTAAAATGCTTTACCAACAGCACCACTGAAAGTTCGCACGAGAATATCTGCTTCTTCACGCACTTTTGGGTGCACGTCTAATTCTTTTAATATTTGCATATTCAGTCAATAATATAAACTCGTTAACACGGCTAAAACCGTGCCTGAATCACACTCAGCGTGCTAACTTTTCCCGCAACTCATAAGTGACAACGCGACAGTCAGGAAACGTGGCAGACTATAGAATGCAATTGGCTGCCATCAGTGCATTCCAGGCAACTGCTAACCAATCGTGTATCGAATCCATTTACTAAGTTTATTTAAAATCGTTCCTTTCTTCAAGATTCTCATTTTAAGATAATCTTTCCAGTTCATCATAAAAATTCTGTGGCATTAAGTATATGATACTTTTTTCGCTATAACGAAGAATCATAGATGTATTTTCTCGAATCATTGTTAAAAATTATTTTCACAAGCGAAATTGATAATTGCGAAAATATTCAAATAATGAAAAAGAAATGAATTTCCAAGTAAATGCATTTGTTCGTGATTTTCAGAGTGGAAAGTGAAATGCGAAGTAGAAGATTCTACTACCTATTTCAAAAACATTACACCGCATCGCTGTTATAAATAAAAAGTTGATTATATAAATGTAATAGAAAAGAAAAGCAAGAATTTCGTTGAACGAGGGAGATGGGAGTAAGAAAACAGTATTAATAATTCACATTCGTAACAAACGCTCGATAAACTTTATTTTTCGTGTATCACGTGGCACAATCGAGAGTGCTCGATCAGACGCATATACTGCAACCTGCAACGGTCGTGTTTCCGCGTGCATTCGTGTCAGAGCATTAGAAAAAATGTTACTAGATGTGTCTTATGTAAAACTCTCGAGTATAAGAGAATATCTTGTCTCGACATAGTAGGTCTTTGTCGCAAGCCGGTTAAAAGGCTGCGCTATTAAGGCACTCTATGCCAGGAATACGTTCAGCGTGCACGAGCGGTACAAACAGGATCCATGAAATACATAATGTATAATATGTATATATATATGTATATATATATATATCTCTATAAAAGAAACGAAAATACATTTTATGACAAATGGTAAATAAACGTACGTACATATGCAGGCTCGAGATGCAAAAAAAATTAAAACTAAGCATATCCTAAAAATAATTGGACGGCGGTCTAATGCATACTTTAATCACGACCCGTTCTTAATTGATCACTCTGAACTATGAAGGGGAATGTATGCGAGAATTTCCTGTAAAATTATTACAGTTATGCGTGAAAATACAGTTACATTAGCGAAGCATTTCTCTGCAATTTTCCTATTATCTTCTCCTATCTCTTAACAGTATAACCCTTTGCACTCAAGAGCCGACTCTCGGCCGCCATTTAATCAGATTCTAAACATGGATGTTAATTAATATATCAAATTTAAAATTACCCAACAATGCGCGGAATATCGAAGTAAAATAATTTTACATCCTAATTTGTATACGATTTCCTATTTACTGTTATTAAAAATATCGTCGACTTTATGGCAAAATGTTTTCGAATTGCTATTTTCGGTAATGAAAATTGGCCGAGTGCACAGGGTTAATACGCTGCAACGGATGGTATATCATCTATGTGCGAATCTTTTGTACGAAATTTAGGAGAGGAACGGGCCGTTTCATAAACCTAAAAGAAACTAACATAAATGCTACGATTGTACTTGCTAGAAACGGCATTTTAACGCGAGATTACTGTCTCTCGTTGGCCTTCATAGCCCGAGTATTTCTTTAACCGTGAGTAGAAGAAGAATGGGCGTGCTCGAAACTTGTCGCCTTTGTTTCGGAAAAAGAACCCCCTGCTACACCGAGGAAACCCTTGTACTTGTTTCATCCCATACCCGTGTCGAGTGCATCGTTCGCTTAAAAGTATCTATACATTCGATCGGGACAATATACACAACACACTAAAACTCTGTATACACATAGTACGACCATAAAATTGCTCGATTGCACGACGATACAGTGCTATAAATATAATCGTAATAACGGTTTACTCGACGTCGAGTTCGATAAGCATGGGTATTAAAGGTCGCCACTGCGTGTTTCGCAGAGAACAAGGCAGTAATTCTTCGATCGACACTGTAAGCTTCAGCCGCATTTTCCCATGCTACTTGTTCCCTCATTCGTAGTACTAATGGTGATTAATAGATCCAGTTCACGGGGACCCATTGGTGTTCAGTAGCTAAGGCGTCCAACGCAGCGATCACCTGCCTAAACGTATTGTCGAAGTCCTCGTTCACGATCACTAGGTCGATGTATTTCTCGTAGGCGCGTTGCAAAGCCGCTGATTCCTCCAACGTTGCCTTCAGATCATCCTCCTGATCAACGAGAAACAATTTAGTTCACCTGCACTCTCCGAAATACGAGGAAGGGACGAGATCTTTGGGTGTTTTTATTTAGTTCACGTGTGCCTATCGATCGTGGTATTCCTCGTAGTCGGATAAATGTATAGGAAACTTGTAACTCTTAGTGCTATCTCTGGTGAATTATTTTTCAGAATCGTTTTATTGCATTCTCGTGATTACGAGTTGCTTGTTCAGTGTTGCGTGATTCTGTACAATGGTGTAATACTAGCAATTATGCTACACATCTATGAGCACTCACACTACGGTAACGAGGAAAGAGAAACAAAATGGATGTACATGCAATACAAACCTCGTACAACGAAGCAAGGGACTCCAGCGTCCTGGCCCTTCTCGAGCTGTACCTGATGGAACTCTGGCGGTCAAACTAGCAAAGCCAACATCAAATACATACGAAAGATTAAATAAAGAACGCTACGTAAATCGAGGAATGGGATTTATACGATGGATAATATGTAAAAATAGTCGGTGTTAATCTAAGTGACGTAGAGGAGCAGAGTATTCAAAAATGAATCTTATGAAAGAGAGAATCTTGCGGAAGGGAATTAATCTTTGGGTCATTAATCTTGTAATCGAACGAAAGTGCATGCGATACATTTACAATAGGCAAATTATACGCATTTACACGACGACGGCAAACAGACTGGCAGGCAGGGATTCGGAAAACGGGCTGCGTCGTAAAATATTTGATGGTTGTGTTTATTTGAAGCGCGGCCTGTGCCGTCGATATACGTTTCTCCTTTACACAAATTTCACGCGCCAAATCGTTTCGTTACAAATGAATTTATCTTCTTCTTACTTTTCGCGCGAGAAATTCCAAGCATTAGAATTTAAATACGTTTTCCCTGGAAACGGATTCGCTTGATAAAGAGATGTTCTCGACGGCTATTCATACAGGTATTTATCAATGATTCGTTGACTAGGAGGTTCGTCAATGGCACGAACAATCGTGTCGAGGGAGATATCGATATTTAACGGGAACTTCCATTCGCAAAACAGTTGCATCTCGACATTGGTTGCCATTAAGTATAAATCTCGAACAAGAATTTACGATACTCGTGTAGTATACAGATTAAGGATGACAGGTATATATCGGTCGCATAATTACCGTCAGGTTTCGACTGCTCGTTCCAGTCGATCTTGCCAGATCGTACAGCCATTTTAATTGCTCCATTCCTGGCGCCGCTATGAAGATGACATAGGGCATAAATTCGGTACTGTTATGAAGTATTTTCAGAGCAGCTGGACTACAATCCAACACGCACATTTTCCCGGCTCTGATTAACTCCCGCACGGAGTCCAACTTTGTACCATACAAGTGGCCGCCATGTTCCCCGTACTCGAGGTACCGGTGCTCTCTGATGTCCGTTTCCATCGAATCACGATCGGTGAACCAATAGCTTTTGCCATCCTCTTCGAGTAATCTAGGTGGTCGCGAGGTATCTAGAAAAATATACCCTTGAATTTACAATGCAATTCTGACAATCAACGACCAACGGGATGCAACATTAATTATCACGAAATTAACACTAGATTTACGGAACCCGTCAATTTCACAGAAGGGTTGCTCCAATTCTACGATGGTAACAGATTTAGTTAACTTATATTAAGACTGTTAATATAATATATAATTGTTTTTAAATTAAACTGATCTTTAAAAAAGAGGCACGTGGTTTCCTTTACCTGTCAATTTGACAAGTGTCCTTAGAAACAGGTATACAGGTAGCGTCCGTAAAGCTAGTGTTAACTGCTACTATTATTATTATATATATTAGCCCTTTGCACTCGAGAGGTGATCTTCAGTCACCATTTCATAAAATTTGGAAGATCGATATTAATTAACACTAGAACTACCAACCCAGTGAAAGTGACTGGTCCCAGAATTTTCCTTTTTGCAATCACCGAACACGTACACCTGCTTTAAGAATAAAATTGGCATCAACTCGTATTAAGAAAGAACCGTAATCAATATATTCACTCATATTCATCGTATCGCTGAAATTACTATAATCTGTGCACGTTATAGTTAGGTACCCATTAAAGATCGGTAGTTCTAGCGTTAATCGAATAAATCTCTAACGCAATGTACACTTTCAGGTCCCGCATGCGAAGACTTGCACGAAGACTCGAGACAACACGGTACACGACGGGATTATGCAACACTTACACGGAACAATGGTGCCGAATTTTTCAAGATCGCTATTTATTAGTCTATTCTTCAGCGTCCTACGACCAACGCCTCTCGGACCGACCAGCGCCAACGTCTTGCGTCTGAAAGGTGGCATCCTGGCCACCTCTTCGTACAACAGCAGTTCCGCACTGTCGAATTCTCCGTTCGACTTCGACTGGTACATTTTTCTCTTTTTCTTCTTCGAGATCTTGGTCCCACATATGCTGATCTTGTGCACGAAGTCCGCTTCCGGCGGAACGAACGCTTTCCTTCGTTCTTCCAGCTCCAACGACGGAATTAGACCTGGTGGGCCCAGACCTTCGCCTTCTACCCGTCGAGCCTGCCACCAGTTCGGGTCTGCTTGGTCCACGATTTGCAGCACGTCGCCCTTCTGGAACGGGAGTCCGATCTCTCTGCACGGTAACAAGGTGTCTTCCGATGGGTCGTAGTCGAACAGCGCCCTCATGTAACACTGCAATGGAAAATAATAATTTAACCACTGATTTTAATTTCAATATTCGCGTCTTGTATTTTTGGTCTAATTTTTCGAAGGATCTTCGAATAAACGTCCAAGCTTTCGACGCTGCGATTCTCCACGGTTCGTCGACTTAGGTTTATCATTCGATACCTAGCTCGAAGATCGATAGCTCAGGCAACGAGTGTCTATATGAAAGTGTTTTTAGACGAGCTGTGTTTCCCATTCTCGATCCACCTTATCATTTACCTACGCATGAAACGCAGAGCGTGCTAGTAGGACACAAAGTGCTAGTAGAATTGCTGTTTCCAGTAACTACTTTTATATTTAGAACACGATTTTAACAGCATGTTCTACGTATTGGCTGAATTTTATCAACGAAGCAGTAAAATCTCGCTGTTTGGATCGAACTGCGTTAAGTGATCTCTAGTTGAGGGATCACTGGAAGTCGTGACCACGTGTTCCAAGTAGACGTCATTAGACCAGGTCATAAAAGCTCTAAGGGGCCGATTAAACATATTTTCGTACCCCAGTACTTTCGTATTAAATTTATTTTCGAGAAGCTGGTCATTTAGGAATTTTATCTTCGTTTTTATTACACTTCTGACGAGATTTACGATTCCGTTCTAATTTAACATCCGTATCAATCGCTGTAAATCATAGTTCGAACAGCAATGGCGTTCAGGGAACAGCGATAAGTCTAGGCTTACCGTGGATTTCACAGGTCGATTGCCATCAGAGGCGATTCCAGGTGCCAGCTTCAACGACAAGTTCTCCTTTGCTTCGTGAATGGCTTCCTGAAGCTCCTTCGGGTTGTGAACTTCCTTCCCGTTCACCTCCAGGATCACCTCGCCGCTTCTCAGCAGTCCTAGGCGGGCAGCCGTGCTTCCGCCCAGGATCCTGGCGATGATCAAGTTGCCAGATTCGTCGACTTGCACCGTCAGGCCCTGTGCAAAAACGGACCAGTGAAAATAAACCTCTGTTACCGTTACACGTGACCAGGTTCGCCATTTAGTACATTTGGAGAACAATCGGCGATTCTGTATTCGTTTCATTTTTGTTCGACTTTCATTCCCGCCTTGTCTTCTTAAGAGAGGGCTTATTGTTTTCAGCCGACTGTAAACAAACGACTCGATGGAAGGGAATGTCGAAGATCACGAGCTTTGTGCTCCCGTTTGTCGAGGGGAACGATTTTCGTGGAGCAGAAGCGACTTGGTTGCAGAATTTCTTGGCACCGAGATCGAAGTTTAAGAATCGATATCACAAAGGATAGTTGACTGTCCCGGTGAAAGAATTTTCTATGCTAAAATACCTTTTAGATGACGCGAGGCTCGATACTCGTGCCAATGGCATGGAGGAACGCGCCAAATTCTTCGCCGAGGCCACGTGGCCTCGAATCAGCGCGGATAATAAACGTTCGGAATTATTTATGAACTGCGAGTGGCATTTCCGTCTTTTCTTCGTACGAGTGTGTTAAATCCAATCGAGAATGTGAATTCTCCCACGTGACGGAATGGTAAACCGCTAAAACTGGAGCCACGTTCGAGAAAGTCGCTGCCAACGGTTGCTTCTTTGTTGATCGCTAGACGTGCCTTCTTACCAGCCACTTTCTTTCCACCAAATCAACCGACAAACGCGGAGACCAAACATCCTCCGATATTCTCGACTTAGTCTCTTAAACAGATTTATGAATATCCAATGCAACATTCGTCAATCATCGAATTACAAAAATCAGCCGATAATACAGGAATCTCTAATCGTCCATAGCTCGGTGTCTTTGGAGTTCGAAAAATCGTCGAAATTATCGAAGGACGCTTACTGGAGGTTCGTCAGGTTGCCTTCTAAGGCCGACTAGCTGACAAACGCAGAGACCAAACATCCTCCGACACTCTTGACTTGGTGAGTGCAGACCAACTCTTAAATAAGTTCCATTGGATTTATGAATATCCAATGGAACATTCCCCATTGATCGAGTTACAAAAATCGGTCGATAATGCAGGAATCTAGAATCCTAATTGATAGCTAGGTTATTGATGAATTAGAGTTCGAAAAATCGCCGAAATTATTGAAAGATGTTTACCAGAGGTTCGTCAGGTTGCCTCCTGAGGCTGACCATCCTGACAGCTTCCGTCCTCTCGTTGGTTGGCATGGCCAGTGGCGGTGGTTCCGGCTTCGATGGTGCTTCCTTCCGTTCCACGACCGCGTCGTGCGTCTCCAGAAGCGCTTTCAGATGCGAGCTCCTCAGCAATCGCACGAGCTCTCGCGAGTTCTCGTCCCTGAAGGAGCGGAGCGTGTAGCACACCTCGTCGACGATGTCACAGGCGGACGAGCATACCGGTTCCACGTGGAGTGGAGGATCCTCCAGACGCTCCTGGACCTGCAACAGTCGTGGCAATCGATGCTGTCATGCTTCCACCATAACTGGTTTTCGGGCCCTCTTTCCTTCCACTGACCCGACTGGCGACTTTTTGGCTGCCTTCTTCGGGATTAGATCCTGCTCTCAGACGTGCACCACCTAACGCTTTGGGCCCTAACGATAGCCGTTCCTCAACGTCGCTCGTTTAAATACCTTCCATCGAAAATTTTGACAGCACGATCTAAGGGATTCGGTTATCGGTGTATTATTTTGACAATAATATATCTTCGCGACTGGTAGATTAGAGTGGACTTGGATCTCCGGTGATATCAGTGCTTTAACTCTTTGGGGCACAGGATTCCAGATAATAAAATTGGCCCATGTTGCATAGGAATTTTATTGCGTTTTAAATGAAACAAAATTGGTACATTTTTACCAATAAAGGAATCACGTAATGTAAAAACGTAAAACCAGGGGAAAAAGATGGTCGCGATAAACCTTCTGCTTGCAACAATTGATGAACTTGTATTGGCATGCTGAATGCTGCCAACACGAGCGAATGCATTTATGACATTTGTCGAAGGTATTACCAGCTGCTTTACGTAAATAAGACGAAATACAAATGTGCATGCAGCTATTGCAATATTTCGAGGTGGGACACTTTGCACTCGAGAGGCGTCTTTCAGTCGTCATTTGATAAAATTTCGGAGCTCGATATTAATGAATATATCAAATTTAAAATAATGTAACTTAAATAATTCTACGTATTAATTATTATACGATTCCTTATTTACTGCTCAAAAAATATCATTAGCCTTATATCACGAAATTTTTCAACTCGTACCCTTCTTTAGTCAAAAAATCGTCGAGCGCAAAGGGTTAATCCCAGCGTGCCCCAAAGAGTTAACCCTTTCTCAGTGTGGTAAAATTACCATTCAATTCAGGTCCAAAAAATGTCCAGTTTTTTTAAGTTCGAATAAAGAATGTAAAAATACGCGTTTTATATGTATCTTGTTAGTAATTAGTCCGTGTATAGTACTTGACACTCTGCCAGTGACTGTCAATGGGTTAATATTTGAATAACAGTATGTTTTCCTAGTTGATATAGCGATGAAAAATTTCAGTGATTCGTTGTCTTTTACGATGTTCCACGTATTATTGCGCGTTCAGTAAAAGTTTCCCGGATGGATGGACTTTCATTGACGAAATGTGGCAGTCTCTGGGATCCACCGAAGGCTCCTCGTCTCGAGCTCCTTTCTGGGATACGTGTTAGCGTGTGGCCAAAGCCACAAACAGTGAACGGCTTAGCCGTCGCCAGTTGTGAAAGTCGAAACGGGTTTCCGCATTAAATTCACCGTACGAGGAACCTTGGTTGCTCTTCGTTCCCCTTGTACAACTTGAGAGAAACGAAGGTTCTTAGTCTACACTTGGATCAACGATTTCTCCAGTGCTCCTTAAAAATGACTGCCAACGTTGTTAGACGCGAGACATCCGTACCTTTCTCTCAAATAATTGCCAAAAGAATTTCTTCCCTATGGAACAAAATGGCAGCGATACTTTGTCGAACTGTCAGGAGAAATCATTGTGCAACGATGACCCGGCTATAACGAGGTTTCATTGGATTAGCGTCCGCCACGTAAGGCTAGCGTACTCCACATTGAACCAGCCAATGCAACGTTACAACAATGAAGGAGTAATTACAAAAGTGGGTCATTCTCAGCGTTTCAGAGCCACCTTCGAGAACGCTTGATACCTGAACGCCGCCGCGACGCCTAGGCTCCAACACCTTTCTCTGAATAAATTCTCTGAAAATCCAACCTAATCGCGTTGAAATTATAACCAATGGAATTGCTTATATCTACGTAGCATTACGTAATGTCATCACCGTGACAGCATCGAGTGATAAGGAAATAGGTCGAAGAGCATTTAAAAATGACGCGAACTACTTTCCACGCAGGTTACCTATCTATTTTTAATATTCCACTCTTCCACTCGAGGTATTACAGAAAATTTCTCCCGTTCCAGACATCCACGCGAGATGAAGAATTTCCTTTCACGAAAGCCCGAGACAAAGCGTAAGCTATGGAAATTGCTTCGCGAAGCCGTCGAAGTGGCCGTTCCCCGCGGCTAGGATGATTCACCATTGAATCATTCGCGTCGATAAACGTGCATCGCAGATGCAAAGAGTTATTTCCACGGTTTCGTTGCAGCAACCGATTATGCGAATTACGACAGGCCACAGGTCGCCTGGTGGAAAACACTCGTGTTAAAAGACAGCCACGGAAAGCGATGCTCGATTTAGGCCCCTGCCCACGCGGCTTCTACACGCAAACGTAAATCAGTTCGCGACGCGAACATCAAAGAACACGGCTGGAGCCGTGTTTTCCTCGAAGCCTGGGAAAACAGAGTGTGATTTACGCGAACCGGGCTGATGTCGAAATTCGAGAGACTGTTTGATTAACGCGTGCTAGAAAGTTCGACTACCTCGTGAGTTACCGACTCCATTGGCAACCACTTTGCCTAATTTACTAGAGCCCGGATCTTGATCTAGTGAATTACTAGATCTCCCTCTATTTTTAAATTTATCAGGGAAAACTGTCAGACCTGGTCAGCTTCGGATAATTCGAAGAGCAGAGATAAAGAAGTAATCGGAGATCGAGGAAAATTCCAGGTTTCGTGGAACGAAGAGACCCAGGTATTTCTCCATATGTCGCAATATCGTCGTTGCGTCGTGGTCATGAATTACATCGCATTTGTCATGTAAACGACAGCAGAACAGCTGGCGTCCAACGAACGCCGCGGCCTATAATGAATTCCCCCGTTCTTCCGTGACGTCCCTGAAAAACCTCACGAAACAAGCACGAGGATCGTCGAGTTCGTAGAGCAAACAGCGTCAGCTAGGAGTATCGATAATCAGACACCTATTTCGACGTCTATTTTTCTTGTTCATAAATCTGCAGGAATTTCCGAGAGGAAAATTAATCGAAGATACTGTACGTCGTTGCTCTAACTGGTGTCACGAGCAACATGACTCGCGAGAAACTTTACAATTATCATCCAAGCATCTGAACCTCTTTCCCGGAAGAATAAGCGAAACGACTGAAGATTCCCTGTGCCAGTAAAATGGCCTGGACGGTGAGAATTATGCCATGTACACGGTTGACAAGCGATGCAGGACGAGTCGATCGACTCGAGGCGACCAGTGGTCTCCAGATGCAGCGAGTAGCTGGAACCTCGAGATCCACGGGACGCCAGAGGGGCCAACGGTCAACAAATCGCGCTTTCTCTCGATCTCACGTGTCGCCTCTGCAGCATAAGGCCTGGCTTCTACGTCCACTCTCCTCGATCTCTATCCACGCAACCGAGTATTATTCCTGATACCGATTTTATGACAGACTTTTCCAGGGGTCCTGACTTACTCTTCGAGGCTAGGGAAGCACAGAGGTCGCCTGTCTCCGTCAGCTAGGACGCCGCTCTCTGGAGAACGAGCTGGCCGCCGTCCTGGAACTGGAGTCCGCGACGTATCGATCGGCCAGGGTCGCGAGGGTGCACTCACGCGACAACTCGGGGTAGATGGGCACGGGAGAAGCTGACGAGGGGTTTCCACGGTGGGTAAACGTAGGACACGCACACCGTGTGTGTTGCTTAGGTAAGCGGCGTCAGAAAACTGCCGCGCCTACTGACGTTTCTTTCGCCCCCACCTCGGGCCAGCTCGTTCAGGCTGCCCGCCTGAAACAGGTGGGGGCCCTTCTTCGGATGGTATGCAACACTCCGCTACGTTCAGCGCAGGGCCGTCTACGGCCAGGCTTCAGACCCCATTCTACTCGCTTTTGCAATTGCTGATTTTGCTTTTACGAGGTACGGCATGGTTAGTTTATGAGACATGTCTGTACAGATTGGCACCATTTTGGTACCTTTGCTGTTTAGCTGTGATACGAGGAACGGGAGCTCGACAGGTAGTTGTAGACTCAAATGGAGAGTGACACTGGGTCATTTACCAATCTCTTTAGACCCCGTTCTGTTTGATTTTCTACTCAGGAAAGGTGGGAAGCTTGGTCTTCGTGGGATGTCTATTTTGGCAGGTGTCATTTTGCTGGATACCTGCTAGGTACTTGGAAAGTTTCTCAGTCAAGACAGGTAGCCTTGAATTGAGATGTAGATGGAGCGTGACACTGAGTCAATTGCCAATTTCTATTCTACGATGGGTTTGACAACGAGTTGACATATCCTTGGGTGTTTTCGTGATAGATCGGAGTTGTGCAAAGAATATGGGGTGTTCTTTTCAGGGTGTCGTTCATTTCTGGTAAACGAGACTTAAACTGAGGCTCAGCGATGATTCCCAGCGACTGTCATGACGGTGAACAATGACGGTTGACAATGGCGCGATGGGTCTCGTAGATCCAAGGGTTTAGGGTTCGGACAAGTAGGTTATGTTGCAGCAGCTCGTTACACGGTAATATTATTATCTAGCTGGTATCGTGGACGGAACTTGCAGTGCTTCTTTCGACACGGGAAAGCGGCAATGTTCGAACGGAGTGCCAACGTGTAAACGCGAACGTGCCTCGTTATGAGGAATGTTAAATATCCTAGGTATCTGTCTAGAAGAGGTAGAGGGGTGTTCCCCTCTTACAACTCGAGTATTCCAATCGCGTTCACTATTCTTGCGTGAAAACGCGGGGACACGCACGCCCCTGGCTTTCCCTTCGTCGCTGCCCTTGGAGATATTTTCATGACAGCTGTAAATTCGAATCGCACGACTGCTCGGGCCCACTTTCGTCGTTGACGGGAATTTCTGGCGCAGGTGTCGTTGATCCGAAGAATTATGCAATCCGGTTGCAGGCAGATCGATGAATATAATGGTCGTGAAAAAATGCTGGCAGTCATCGACACCGATCGGTTTGTCGATCTTGCGACACAGGTAGACCCTTCTCAAGATACTCAATAATCCGTTACGCGATACAACGGGATCATATGGCTCCTGCGTTAAACACAGCTATCGCTGGCGTCACATTAGCGAGCCT